CCTCTATTCATTTGTCTGTAACTGGAACCATATATACTGCAATATTTTTCCTCCTCTTTGTAAAGAAAGTTTTGATAATATTCATTTCCATTGAGGAATGTCACAATTAACTTCTTTGTCGTCTCGTCTACTTCATTCATCTTGTATATAATTTTGAAAAATATTTTCAGGCACTGGCTTATTCTGATGACATTACTGTCGCTTTCGTACGCACACATGGAGCTCTTATTTGTGTTTTTCTGTGCAATGTACTTTACCATGCTAGCTAGTATGTAGATGGCTTTGTTCCTGAACACGTTTGTGGAGGCACCCATTCCATCGATTCCACCACTTCCACTAATTACACCACTTCCACTAATTACACCACTTCCACTAATTACGCCGCTTCCACTAATTACACCTTCCGATTTCACCAGAAACGGGTTCAGAAAGTGGAAGGCGGGGCCTCCAACCATGGCAACTAATTTTAAATACAACTTGGTTATGCAGACGCACATAACTGAGAGCAATAAATCATCATTGTCCGCTAGCAGGACGTAAGAGAAGGAATTCAAATCACTAGCTGTTCCATTGTCATCGCTTGTTGGGGAATTTTGGTTTTTCCAAAATGCCTCAGTAGCATATGTTCCATCTTCCAATACGACTGTTTTGGTTTGAATGGTTGATGCAGATATGTTAAAATTCATCATCATTTTATTTTTCTTGAATTTGTCACTTTGTATTTTGCTAATAATATCTGATTCCATGTTACTACTAAGGAATGGAATAAGATGTTCATATAATTTATTTAAAAAATCAAAAATCATTTTTTCTTCATTCATATACTGTCCCAAAATCCAAAAAAAAATTCTCAATATTGTTGCCTTCTTAACTTCAAATATTGCATCTACAATTTTTTGTAAAATTGTACTCTGAAAGGTTGGATTATTATTTGCCAACTTTCGAATACACAAAGCAGATTCATAACTTACTTCCTTTTCTTCATCGTTCACATAGAGAAGAAGTATATCCATCATGCTTAGGCATTCATCCGCATACATGTTGCATACATGTTGTAAAGATTTAATAAGTATTTTTTTATAGCTAATAATTTCACGATAATTTGTCGACATATTGTTAACAATTCCTTGCGTCTCTCTCAATCCACCACAGGAAGGAATTGTAATTGAACCGTCTCCTGAACTTCCAGTATAAGTATTAATATTTGCACCACATCTAGAATTTGTGGTTATACCTGAATTTAAAGCAGTTCCTCCTCCACCTTTAGAAGAAATATTTTTTCCACACGGTACCCTATCGTTTAATTTTAGTAGTTCCTTTTTTAATACATTTAAAACTAAATATACATTTCTTTTGCTTAAGACATGAAGAACAAGGTTTAAGATTTTTACCTTTATATCTCTGGATGGGAAATTCAAAGCTCTTAACAAATCCATTACATAATTTTCTAATACTTTTTTCCATTTACACATGATATAGTATAATCTGTCAATTACAATAAGTTTTATATTGTTGTCATGCTGATTTATTAACAGCTTAATGAAACATTCACTAGCAGTTTTTATACTCAATTCAGATGTACTCATATACAACAAACAACATGCACCTTCATACAGAACACTATTACTTACATTTTTATTTAGCATGTTTAGAATAATCTTAATAACATTATTTTTATATTCACTATAATCATTTTCGTTTAATTTCTTTTTTTTAAAATTTATATCTTCACATCGCATGTTCAGAATATTGTTCCCACCGTTTGTTTCATCTCTATTTTTATTCATTCCTAAAATGTTACTATTAGGGGTTAAAATACTTTCATCAATACTGTATTCCATATTGGATTCATATTTTTTTCTCTTTCCATTATGCATGTTCATATGTTGCAAAGGGCTGTCTTCTCCTATGAGAAAATCTTCAAAAGTTTCAATCTCTTCATCTGATTTATATTCATCTTCTTCTCCACCATTTCTATGTTTGTTCATTCGAGTGGAAAAAGGGATAATATTATTTTTTTCATTTTTCATTGTACTACTCCCTGCCCATTTGTCATCCTCGTTATCTTCATCTTCATCATTTATCAACAAATAAGAATTATCAAAAACGTGTGGAATGTATAATTTCTTAAAAAGATGTATAACTTCCAACAGAATAACATCTGCAGTGTCATATAGTTGATCATTGAGTGAAAGAATATACTTGAGCGTTGTTAATGGGTCGACATCAATTAGCATCGAAAGTGCACTACGTTTGGTCGATATATCATTTTCAAGAAATAAAATTTTTTCCATTTCTTTAACAGAATTTGGTATAACATCAATTCCATGTTCCTTAATAATTGTATGAATACAACTAATGGCATTTTTTCTCACATAACTATGTCTATGATTTAAATTCTTTGTAATTGCTTCTATCAATGGATCAATAATTTTTAAATATTTTATTTTACTTAAAAGTCTCAAAGTAGAACCACGTACATACTCATTAGGAGATATTATATCATTTCTCAATGCATTACACACAAGTATCATTTCTTCTTTTAAACTTCCATCCGTGTTACACTTATCAACAATTTCAAAAAATATATGACACAATTTTTTTAATCGATGATCCTTATGAGGAACAATAAATCTTATTACACACATGAGTAAATTTCCATATGGCTCTCCTTGTATTATATTAAATATGAGATGTTCCATTCCTTCGATTTTCTTTTCTACATTTTGACTTTCCAATTTCTTCTGAATTTCACTTATCGATGGAATTTCATAATTGTCTGTGCAAATGTATAAAGTACAATTGTTTTCAATTTCAAGATTCCCCATTTTTTACACACAATTAGTCTTACACGCAGTGAAGAAATTACTTATCAGAAAAGACCGAACTCTGATATGCTCTTATAACCCCTGTAAAGATTCTTCTTAACAACTGCTGCTAAGTTTATATATACAAGCACAGGTGTATATAAAACATGTACACACACTGATGTGGGGAAATTTCTCTATTCCCAAAATTATCATATGCATCTGGACGTACGCTATTAGCCACGTGCACAACTAGATGAAAGACGAACGTGCCGAGTGGTGTAGCAAAAAAATGGAAATAATGCGAAAATAAAGTAATGTAAAACAAAAGTGAAATATTTTCCACCGTGAATTTAGCACAAAAAAAAAAAAAAAAAAGGACAGAAATGGCATTTCTTCCCCTTCCACTACAAAAAAAATTCTCAGCAAGAAAATGCCAAGTGAAGAAAAAATGAAATAAAGGTTAACATTGAGAAAAAAAAAATATATTACATCATTAAGAATTAGCAAAAGTTGTGTGTTTGTCAGTATCAACGTAGTATCCTCTCAATATGTTAATCAAATAGACCTGTTCTTTTTTTTTTTTTTCTCTTTTTTTTATGTACTTTCATGTTTTCTTTTCATTAAAAAAAAAAAAAAAAAAAAAAAACATATCCCCCTTAAGATAAATTCCTCTCTTTTGCTTCTGTAACCATTGCTTACGTTTAACGGTATTAAAGAAGAAAAAAGGGGAGAAAAAGGAAAGAAAAAAGAGAAAAAAAAGGGGGGAAAAAAAGGGGGGAAAAAAAAGGGGGGAAAAAAAGGGGGGAAAAAAAAGGGGGAAAAAAAAGGGGGAAAAAAAGGGGGAAAAAAAGGGGGGAAAAAAAAGGGGGAAAATAATTTGTCAAAATGGCTAAAAAAGAAAACGATTGCTTTATGTTGCCTTTAGGGGAGAATATGAAGATAATATTTATTTTTATATTCTTCAAAAAGTTTTCGCTTTCAAAGTGTGAACATAGGCTAATACATTGTAAAAAAAAAAAAAAAAAAAAAAAAAAAAAGGTGACTTACATATATATAATGCTATGATGGGGATAACGATCGCAGACTTGTAACTATGTTACGTGTAAGAAAAAAAGGACATTGCAAAATCGTGTAAATATATATATATATATATATATGTATATTATGCCTTATCGCGTACGTCATTTGTGAATACCTCCCATTTGGCAAGGCACTCCCTTTAGCTAATTCGTTCTGACCAAACTTAGAGGAACCAACTGCTGAAAAAAACTAAAGGGAAAAGTAGCACACGGATTGGCCCCCGAACTGACACGCGAACTGACACCAGGTCGTGTAACAAGTTGACAGCCTTGTCCGCCTTAAATAGTCCCCACTTCAGAAAACGCAGAAAAAATAAATATATACATACATGTATATATATATATATATATATATATATATATATATATATATATATATATATATATATATATATGTATATATATATTTATTTATTTTTTCCGCGTCATATATGTGTACAGCCCTGTTAGTGTTTTGCTTCCCGTTGGGTTATCACGCTGGGCAGATTTTTTTCTTATCATGTTACTTCGCTAAGAGCTGAAGGAGGTGCGAACTGATAAGAAATTCAAATACTTAAGGTAGTGCTTAGGAGTGATTGTAGCTCTCGGTAGGAGAAAAAATTCACACATTATTATATAAACGCGCAATGTTTACTTACACGTATACATATATATATATATATATATATATATATATATGCACGTAGGCATGCCGATACATGTGCAAATGTGATCGAATTCAATTTTATTAACTTCTAATGTATAAAAAAAAAAAAAAAAAACATCCAGCCCATCAATATGTGTTAGTTCCATTCGATCAAGCAAGCCCTTATGAGTAAAGTATCTATTCATGGACACGTGTGAATAAATAATATATAGTAAATTAACATTCACGTTGTACTAAACTTAGACCTAACGTTTTGCAAATATTTCCATTCTCCTTCAAAAGGGAGAAAAAACTGCCATTTTAAATAATTACAACAATAGGTGGAAAAAAAAAAAAAAAAAAAAAAAAAAATATAAAATCTACATTTTTCTAAAATATTGAATATTTATTATTTTATTTTTTCATAAGCTCAATAATTGAGGTAGAGGGGGAGTAGGTATACACAACACATACAGATTTGTACATTTATGTACCATTTCGACTGATAATGATTAAGTAAATCTAAAAGGTTTTTTTTTTTTTTTTTTTTTTTTTTTTTTTTTTTTTTTCCTTTGCAAACATGATAAAAAGTGGCAAAATAGCTAGCTGTCTTTTGGTGAAAAAATTACTAGGTGTTAATAAATTCGTGACATATGGTAGATATATGCACACAGAAAAAAAGCCTACATACGAGATGAGCCACATTGTAACGGAACAAAGCAACAAATGCAACCAAGCCTTAAGAGAACTAAAGGTAAGTAAACATTTCAGAGAAATATTTCATGATGGTTCAGAAAAAAATTTCGAAAGTCATCCATTTAATAGAAGATTTGCATATAGCAAGAAAAGTTTATTTCCAATTGAACCTCGAAACTTAAGAACATTGGGATTGAACAGACAAAGAAAAAAAAAAAGAGGAAGAGGAGATAAATGTCCAGCAAAAGGAATAAGAGATAAACATAAACATAGAAAATCGGGGAGACCAAATAGTCGAACTTTTGAAAGTGGAAGAACTCCATTATATAGAAGGCTACCAAAATGGCCAGAGGCTTGGTTAAGTAGACAAAGAAAAAATTATGATTGTTTGAATTTAGCAAAATTAAGATATTTTATTGAAAAGGGAAGATTAGATACTAGGTTTCTTATTACTCAAAGACATTTACATGATTCCAAATGTGTAAAAGTTAAAAATGGAGTTAAATTATTCAACGTAAATGATTATCCATTTCCTTACAAAATTGATATTGAAGTTTCAAATGCTGATCAATCTTCCATTGACGTTATTAAGAAAGTTGGAGGTACAGTAACTATTGTATATATGGAAAGAGTTAATTTAAGGGCTCATATAAAACCATACAAATTTGAAATATTACCAAAAACGGCCAGACCCAACCTAGACATGATTCATTTTTTGGAAAAAATGAGAAGTAGGGGATGTATTGTTAAGTATATAAAACCTTTGTGGTTGATCGAGGAAGAGAAGAGAATTATCAATGAGCTAACAGAAATGGAAGAGAGTTCCAAATTATCTGATGGGTTCCCCTTCTCGATGGACACAAGTGAGAGTTCGAGAGAGCGCATAAATGATGATGATGATGAAGGGGTGCTAAGGGACAGGTTACTGCAGAAGTATCGGTTGCAGAACACACGCTTCGGGGGGTAGCGGTGAGGAAGTGCACCGATTAGAAGTGCACCGATTTGGGTGCCCCGTATTTTTGCACCCTATTTTTGCACCCTATTTTTGCACCGTTTAGTATTTCTCCATTTTCGTATTCATAATTTGATTCTCATTTTGCCGCTCTGTTTTTTTTCGTTCATAACTACAAACAGGTATATGTGCACGTAAAAAAAAAAATAATAAAAAATAATGAATAAAAAAAGGGGAAAAAAAAACAATTCACCAAATTTTGTATAAATGAATAAAACTGGTGTGGGTGTGATGGACTTACCCTATGCCAAATAGGTAAAAAAAAAAATCCTACGTACAAATCCTGTGGAAATGGAGAAGGCACATAGATGAACATGTGCATCCAAGTATATCAGTATGAGCACGCAAAAGAACGGTCGCACAGAAGGTGAGACTTTTCTCAGCGCCTTTGTCGAATATTGAGATTTTTCTTCTGCTCATCCTTGAGCTCTGAAATTTTTTCCTGCGAATTTGCATTCTCATCAGTTGTTGCATCACTGTCTGAGACTATGTCTTCATCTTCTAAACGGTTAGAATACTTTATCTCATCTACTTCGTCATGTATTAGTTCGGTCGTACATTTGTTGTGAATTCCCTTGAGTTCCATAATTTGTTCATATTCTTCATCACTTTTTTTTATTTTCTCTCGATAATATAAAAGTAAATGAGTAAAACGAATGTAAAATATCCACGCTATTGAACAGAGTAATAAAATCCAAAAGTTTCTCTGCAGTCTTATTTTTTTAAAATATGTTCTGTTCATCACATTGTGTATAGGACTGGAGAATTCTAAATTGGCCTTTTCATTATCGTAATTGTTCAACTCAAAAATTGTAAATGCCAATCTTAACAAGGCATAAAAAGAAATTAGAGATGACACGCACACGTTTATTTGATATTTGTGAATCTGGAAATTGATACTTCTTTTTTGTATAGATATGGCCATACGTTGAAACAGAGCCACACCGCTTAGAAGCAAAAATGATAACCCTATACCCGCAGGTAAAAAGAAAAAGGCAATGTCCTTCATTCCTTATGAGGTATTGTTCAGACCGAAAAGATAATTCAAGCGAAGAAATGTTCAGAAAAACAAATTGAGAGAATTATCAAAATGGAAGAGCGATCAGGGTGGGGAAAAAAAAAAAAAAAAAAAAAAAAAAAAAAAACTCCGTCGTCTTTTCAACCACTTGGTAAATATGAAATCATTTTTCTCCTACTAAAATGGTTCGTATGGATAAGGGTCAGGGATTTTTGTAATTCCACGAGAGAAGATAATAACTCCTCGCCGAGCATAACATTTATGTCAATATGTATATATATATATATATATATATGTGGTCACATTCATAGTGTACATTCCTCTTCTCTATAAAAATGTATCAAATTTTGGAAAAAAATAATTTATCGCACAAAAGTGTGGACATTGCAAAATTAATTTTATTCCGTTTTGTTCCGTTTTGTTACTTCTTTTTTTTTTTTTTTTTGCCATAATTATATTCATGCTTATACTTTTAAAATAGAGGATTTCTTTTGGATTTGCTTGGATGGATAGAACATACTTTTTAAATGGGTCATCTGCTTGTTTTTCATGTGATTCCTTTTTTGACTCATCCGTTGGAGGAAATTTATTTCTGTCGCTAAATTTGTTCTGTCATTTTGTCGGCTTCTCTTTATTTTTTCCTTGTTATGCTTCCTTGAGGGGTGCACAATGGGAAGGAGCTGCATAAGATTAACCTGTAGCTCCTTGAAAATGTCACGGGTTTGTCACCATGAACTTGATAAGTTGAATTATACATTTTTTTTTTTTTTTTTTTTTTTTTTTGGACCAAACCGCACAACTCGCAGCTATTTTCTGGGTGGAAGGAGACATACGTTGGAAAGAATTCTCCATATATGATATAAAAGAAGGTCAAAAAAAAAAAATAAAATAAAATAATAAAAAATATAAAATAAAAAAATAAATCTGCCAAACTAAGTTCCTATATCTTTACGCACACACTTTTCATTTCCCTGTTCTGTGCGTAAAAAAAATATATTTTGTCAAAAGAGGGGAAAAAAGGGGAAAGTAAAAAATTCGCTACTTCCCCCCCCCCCTTCCCAACCTTTTAATGTTGAAAGAAAAAAATAAAATACCCATCACATGACGGCCTGTCGAATTATTTTTGAAAATGGCAACAAAGTTAACAACTTTTTGCAACATTTATGTGCAATGTATTTATATATGTTAGAAAGTTTTCCAGTTTGTCTTTTTAAAAAATGGAAAAACCTAATGAGGCATAAAGAGAAGAAGAAAAAATTGGTCAAAATTCACGGAAAGGAAAATATGCACACAAGAGTGGGGTCTGAGGGGAAAAAAAAAAAAAATAATAATAATAAAAATAAATAAATAAAACAAAACTGTAATAATAAAAATAAATAAATAAAACAAAACTGTAATAATAAAAAATACACCCACATTTTGGCCTCCCCATGCTTGCTTATACTTGGGACCCCTGTGGTGTACACCCACCTACAGACATAGAGACATGGGTGATATTCTTCACGAGCCCGGCCACAATCAGCCACAAAAACGTATATCAGATTCATAGCGCTGGGCTATTCCATCATCCCCTTGAACAATATCAGGAACAATGTCAATATTGTAATTCATGTCAACCCCTCTGTATTCCCTCGAAGCGTTCTCCTTGAGAGTTCCCAAAAAGTTTATGCACATGGGAGATTTTTCATGAAACATAGTTATAAACTTCCTTTGTTCTTCTACAGGGATAGGTAAGGAGTGATCGATGAGATCTTGGTACTTTTCCAAGAGGTTGCTTGATTCGTCAGTTGTTTTTGGATTGTTTTCACTTTGTAGCATTTTTTCTGTCCTATGAGGAGGATTGCTACTCTCATTTGGAAGAATGTTTTTACTGCTGCTTCTTTGCTTTGGATTATTTTCTAGTTCATGTAATTCGGAGCGATGGAACCACAATGTATTATACTTACCTTTGTTCATGTTTTCCAATATGTGTTGAACAGATGGGAGAGTCAACAAATGGGAAAATTCAAAGAAGTATTTACATTGCCATTCCAAATAACCATAAGCAATAAATAACTCACAAGGGTTAATAATTTTTTTCGAAAAATCAGACAATTCTAGGAAACTTTTTTCAGGACAGGTAATCAGAATGTACATTTGAATGTCTGAAAAATTTTCCAATTTAGCACTATTTAATTTGTTAGTAGCAATTGTGTAGCATTTTTTCCCCTTTGATTTTAACATATAATTTATGAGATTTTTTATTTCTTTGTTTTTTTTTAAATTTACATTTGCAACCAAAATTCCAAATGTATCCACAAGTTTACATTTTTCTATAAGATTATACCTCCTAAGTAGTAGTTTATCTGGATTTCCACTTTTCTCAAAATGGCTATTGGAAATGGTTATCTTTTCCCCTATAAAAAAAGTTTTCTTTTTTTCTGCTTCCCCATCTTCGTTGTCTCTTCGCGTCGCCACTTGCTCTTCATAAATATACACAGAGTCAGCTATATTTCCATATTCTAACATACATCTATTCTTTAAATTTACATTTCCATTTGGAAAGAGAAAGATATTTGTATTCTTTTCTATCTTTCCATTGATAAAAGTTTCCCATGATTGTGATGATAGTTCTTCCTTTTTCATTACTTTATAAATGAATTTCTCTAATTTCACATTGTACATAATTTTTGTTGCCAACCTTCCACATAGAAACGCATACTTCCCCCCTCCACAATCATCATTAGTCATGTCAAGTGTGATATAGTTGTCATAAAATCCATAACACGTTTTTTGCTCCATATTATTTGCAATTTTGTGTAAACATACAATTATGTTCGTATCGATTTCATCCATATCAGATTCTAATAACCTCTCTATCTCTTCATTTTTTTTACAAAAATGTATTGTTTTCATATTTTCACTAGAATCAGATGCATTTACATTGTTATAACCATCCGAAAGGAATGTTTTTCCCTGTACAATATTTTCATCAATGTGGAAAAATAATCTCATTTTATCAGTCTTTTTCATATTGGAAGAACTTCCAACAGAAGGATCTACATTATCTACTCTCCTCCCTTGGGGAGTGGCAAGTAGAACTTTCTTACAACTGTTTTCGAAAAAACACTTCACTAAACTGGGAATGCAGCTTGTGTATGTCACGTCGCATAATATAATAGATGTTTTATCATTTCCTATTATTTTATTTCTTTTTAAATCCTGAATAACATTTTTATAAAGAACCTCTTTCCCTTCTTTAACTTCATTAAATATGTAAACAGAAGGTATGTATGGAATAGTAAATGATTGGCATGCATTTCCATAATGAACTAAAAAATCTGATTGAACATGTTCAGCGTTTACATAATCCTCACAGCATTCATTTAATGATGTGTCTCCTAATATGTATATGTTTACATCTATTTCTTCACTGCTTCCATTTGGTTCACTTCTGTTGGTCATATCACTACAATGTGCTTCATTTTGGCAATTATTATCGTCCCCACAGCATGTCCCAGCGTCTCCTGCTGTTGTCATTGGAACTGTCGGTGGGATCGACTCGATAGCATGTGTTTTTTTTACTTCTTCTTTCACGGTTTCCACATTCACGGCTTCTCTTTTCATGTCTTCCACTTTTACCCCTTCCACTTTTACCCCTTCCACTTTTACCCCATCCACTTTTACCCCATGCGGGCCTCCTTTCCGCCTTTTCTGGATCTCTTGCTGAATGACATTCGAAATGGTTAGAGAATCTTCAAGCATACAGTCAGGTAGCTGGATTGCCACCCGAGTGAAGTTGTTTTTTAAAATTATTGACACTACTAAATTCACCTCATACTTTGCGTAAATTTCGTTTTCCCCCTTTTGCTTCATTTCGGAGATGAGGCGAAGCTAGCCAAAATATGCGGGAAAAGAAGGGAAAAAAAAAAAAAAAAAAAAAAAAAAAAAAAAGCTAGCTGGATTTAACCCCTTGGATATGATCGTTCTTCTCTCTCAGTTTTGAAAAAGTGAAAAATAGGGAGGAGTCAACATCTTCTATGCAACTAACACCCATCCATGGATTAAGAAAATTCAAACAAATTGAATCCCCCCTAACTGAGCCCTTCGATCGAGTTGCACAAACATCCCACCTGTTGTAGTTTAAAAATGGAGAAGTGCTCAAGCTGAAATATTAAAAAAATGAACAAACCCAAAGCACCGTGCTGTACATGCGTTAAACTTAAATGTTGCATTGCGTGAAATGTAGGCACTCGAAATGGGCCTACAAAAAATTGGCAGAGTTTCAATAACGGGTCTAGTATAATTTACATTTACGTGTTATACTGTTTGTGCAGTTTTAGTTTTTGCAGTTTGGCAGTTTGGAAGTTTCACAGTTTGGCAGTGGAAGAGCCGAAGATGGGCGTGCCAAAAAAGAACAAAATAGCACTATATATAGATATATATACATGAAAATGTATTTACCCAATTGACTTTCCCACCCACCCCCAATACCCTAAAAAAAAAAAATCCTTCAGGAGACAAACGGTTGTGCAAAACTTAAATCGGGGAGGTGAAAATAGAATCTTGGAAATTCTCATCACAGAATGTGCTGCTTGAAATATTCATATATGGTAACGGCTGCAGAAACATGCACATTCAATGAGCGTATGATTCCTTTTCCAGGTATTTCGATACAATAATGGAGGAAGAGAAGAATGGAGGACGGGAGTCCCTCTTTTTCGTCTCCCAAAATTAAGATAGTTTTTTCTGGAAATGTAAATGTGTTTAGGGGTTGGCTACAATTGGTTTGTTCTAGTCCTATGATGGAATATTTTTTTTTTTTTTTAATTATATACTTTAAAATGTTACTTTTTTTTAATTCTTTTACATACATCCACTTATTTGCAGTGGAAGATATTTTCTGAAATTGAAAATCTTTCACAATATTTGCATTATGAACATATAATTTTTTCACTTGAAAAATTTCACATGTTCTACATAGCCCAGCTAAATTAGGTACTTTATCAATTAGTGATGCCACGACAATTAATTTTTTATTTCTTTTTACCCTTACCATTTGATGATAAGTTTTTCTAAATTCATTGTTAATTTGGATTATATCATTAATCGGGTCGAATTTTTTTTGATAATTTTTTTTGTTTCTCTCCAAAATTGTTTCTATTGATATTTCTTCACCCATCCCTAAAAACAATTTCTCTACATTTGGTTCATTATCCGCTGTTACGTATGCTTCTTCTCTATGGTTTATGTACATCTCTCCATGCAAAAGATCAGAAAAGTTGGGGGGAGAAATGGTATTCCTCAAGGAGAGAGCTTCTTTTTTATGTTGCTTTTCCAAGTCTATATTAAACATGATACTTGACATTTCCTGCTGTACATCCTTTTTCACCATATCAATGAAGGTGTATGATGTGACTAATTCATAATTCCTTAAAACATGTGTAAAGGTGTTAGTATTTTCTTCATTTATATCTTCATCGAAATTATTGTATGAATAATTATATGCAGGAAGTAGAATGCTGATATCATCAAACGCGCTTGGAGTCCACTTATGAAATTGTATTTTCATTTTTTTCCTAATCCGTTTGCAGTCCTTATTATTTTTAATATATGAATAGATACATGAAAAAAATGGGTTCGTCAAAATTTCTTTTCTTATTTTTACAAACCTGTAAAGGGTATACTGTGCAATACTTCTCACTAATGCTGCGTGAGATGAACATAGACTAACAACCTGTTCTACTAATGAAATTAAGCATTTGCGTATAAATTCTGAATAAAAGTAACTCTTATTCGATGGGTATATCTTTTCTCTTTCGTATTCCTGATGGGGAAGCTGTTCATGATGATGCTGCTGGTTATGCTGCTCATGATGATGCTGCTGGTTATGCTGCTCATAATGATGCTTCTGGTTATGCTGCTCCCTATGATGATCATCATTTCCTTGATTGATTTTAATCTCTTTGTGGAACCCCTTCTCGGGGTGAACACAAGAGCTGCTTCTCCCCTGCTTCTCTTTGATAACTTTTGATAACATTTGTGAATACCTCTTCTTCATATCTTTAACAATTTCTTCTTTATTATTCTGATTTCTCTTCACAATTTGGTTGACAATCTGTTTAATTTTTCTTGTATCATCTCTGCTCCTTCTCTTAGTTGCTCTTTTCAGCCTTCCTTCTGCACTGAGTTCATGCGTCTTCTGCTTTTTTCCTTCAAAGGAAATTTTTCCAATCCGGGAATTTCCACTAGAGAGACAAGCTTGAGAAAAGGATGAACTGACATACAATTCTGTGAAGGAGTAATAACTAAACTTGCTTTTCAATAAGATGTAAGAGCATATCATTAATGAACTTACAACCAGTTGCAAATTTGTATTTTTATCTGTGATATGTTTTTTTAAATATGGATAGAGCAGAACGAAGGAAGAATTACTAATTGAGAGACAAAATAATTCCAAGTATTGCCGTGTGCTGTTTAGATGATCATCTTGTAGCAGTTGATTCACTTTTGAAATTATTCCTTTTCTTTTCCCCTTCTTTAGATGCAAAAAATATTTTGACAAACAGCACAGTGCTTGCAGTCCCCTCAGTTGCGTGTTGTGTCCGCTCGACGACGGCAGCGGGGAAGCGGCTGCAGGTGCAGATGTAGGTGCAGATGCAGGTGCAGATACAGATGCAGATCCAGATGCAGATCCAGATGCAGAATTGGTGGCTAGCCAAGCTGACGACGTATTCGTCGGATGGCCGCCTCTCCCAGTTTGACATTTCTTCCCGTTTGACGTGACATTTTTGTTTTTTATTCGGTTCAGAATCTGAAGAAGAAGATTCTCGTAAATCTCTAAAATGAGTTTTCTTCTTTCATGCAAGTGCTCTTTGGCAACACGTCTTGCATTTCGGATGTGCACATCATGACCTTTGCTCATATGGATTAAATTTACTTGACAGAATTTGTAACGAGAAAAATATTTCTCCTCTAGTAAGCCAAATAAATTTATCAAAAACATAAGGGTCAACAATCTGAGGAAGATTGGTGTATGGTGTATTCGATAAAGATCAGACGGGAATATAACATGTTCATTATTCTGTATTTTATTGGAAAAATGGAAACATATATGTTCATTCACAAATTGATGTAAGAGAATATTGCCTCTTTTCATTTTGTAGTGATTGTTTGTAAAGCTTTCTTTCGAATCTACTAATACAAACTCTTTGTATACCAAAATATCCACAATCACCTGTACAATTTTGTCTATATACTCTTTTTTCACTTTAATTATGTCACTACCTTCAATGATTGCCATAAAAAATGATGAAAGAAATGGAATCACTATGCTTCTACTTATCGATAGTTTTGTTTTCCCGTATTCCAAAATTTTCTGCACATAATTTAGGAGGTAAAAGGTCTGCCCATCGCTTGTTCTCTGCTTCTTTGAGTTCATATGCAAATTCATGTCATATTTCACAATTAAGGGATGAAACAGGGTTATAAACACAAGTTCCAATATCTGTGGTGGATATTTACAAGTGCAACACCGGTCAATCAGAAGATCGCTTTGCTGAAGCAGAAGAAACAAAATCTTTCTCCTTCCATTTGTTATGCTCGTACATAGAGAACAATCTGACATCTTCTCCTTATTGCTCTTCTGATTTTCCTTTCGATGGGGACATGCTTTACTTTTTTCCTCGTGGGAATTTTCCTCATTTGTTCTATCAACGCTGTCGCAAAAAACCGATGGAATAACAAATCTTCTGATAATCATGTATAGATATACTAGCTCGTCCTTGCATAGCTCAATATCACCAATTACTTTTTCTGCAAACGTGAAGACATCTTCCGTTTGCTTCAAACTATCAGATTGATTCGAAAAATTCGATTGCTTCAAACTGTCAGATTGCTTCAAACTGTCAGATTGCTTCAAAAAATCGGATGGCTTTAAACTATCCACCTGATCCTGGCTCTGCTGCCGTTCGGGGTGAGCCTCCCTGATTAGAGGGGAATTGCTGAGTGCACAGTTGCACATATTGATATATGCAAATTTGTACTTATAGTAATGGAACTTTTCAAAGTGCTTGTTTCCATATTGTCCATTATTTACCCCTTTTCGATAGTCCTCATTGTAAGTTCTTTTCATCTCAAGATGTATTATCATCTCGTTTGGAACTACTTTACATGCGTGTGGAAACAGCACACCAACATTGGCCATAAATGCAAGAGTTAAAATGGTTCTAATGCTGTCCTCCTGCTTCTTACCATTTGCAAAATTGATTATGTACTTTACACATTCATCGTGCAATCCCTTTGTCAGTTCATAGAAGAGGTTATTTTGTTCTATGAAGTTCTGCTGTTGTAGTGGGGGAGTAGTATTTTTTTCCTTTAAAAATGTTGATATGTCCATTCTGTTGACTCTTGCATAATTCTTCTCTGCTTCGAAATTTACTTCACCTTTGTAATAAGAAACATGTTTAGCCCCTGTGCTGTCGTTATTTGGTGCTAAAAATTCGAGAGTATCAACAAAAAGGAAAAGCATGTTTAAAAGATTGTCCTTATTGGGGTGGTTCTTGCTTAAATGGCCACTTCGAACTTGTACATGTTCTGCCACTCCAACTGCACGCTCTGCCACGCCATCTACATGTTCTGCCACTCCAACTGCACGATTTGCCACTCCAACTGCACGATCTGCCACTCCAACTGCACGATCTGCCACTCCAACTGCACGATCTGCCACTCCAACTGCACTATCTGCCACTCCAACTGCACGATCTGCCACTCCAACTGCACGATCTGCCACTCCAGCTGCACGATCTGCCACTCCAACTGCACGTTCACACGTAGCACTTTCCCCTTGACAAAGGAGAAAATGTCTCAAGCTTTTCAGATGGTGGATCATCACTTGGTTCAAATTTTCCCGGTCAAAGAGGTACATCAAGTTATACTTAAAAATATAAAACAAGAAAAGAGTCATCAATTCGTTCGTCTCTGCTGCTTCTGTACAAAAAAGGAAATTTTCATTTTGCATATCCTTACATGTTACATATAAATGAAAAAATCGCAAGTATCCCCATATATACACATGCTGATTCGTCAATACAACTTTGTTACAATTTTTGAGAAAACAGTTTATTAACAATTCATTGCTTTTATTCTTAAGTGAAATTAAATTTACCATCTTTTGAGAGCTTTTTTCAATATTTTCTTTTACCATACAACTTTCATTTAACTTCAACAAGGCATGAAAGTAATTCATCTTTTCAACAAAAAAGTTGTCTTCGAAGAAATTCAGAAAAATACAGAATTTTTTTACACAATTGAATATGGTTACGTGCTCATTCAATTTTACAACTGTCTGCAACATTAGTGTAAGAATATCCCTCCGTTTACTTATGCAAATATTACTTACATTTTTTGTGATTCCTACAATAATTTCCTGCAGGTTGTGATGCAAACATTCGTCCTTCTCAAATGTCCTCACCTTTTTCCCACTTCTATTGGGGTCAACGAGATTGTAAGAGAAAAGCCCCTCAGATATGTAAGGCCCTTCCAGATTATGTAAGGAATGAAGTAAACTTTCCAAGATAATGCGTACATTAGTATGGAAAAATTTTAGTGTGTTCAAACATGCAAGAAACTGCTTAACATAGAAAAGGGAATTCTTCTTTAAAATCTTCAAAATGATAAATTTTTTTACTCGCAATTCGTAGAAGGGTATATCTCCCCTTATGAACAAGGTCGGTTTTATGCACTCCTCAAAGAAACTGTGGAAGAGAAAGGTATCGCTCATGCTGTTCAGAACGGTTTGCACATCGAGCGTTTCATTCAGTTTGTCTCGCTGATCCTGTTTATCACTTCTCCCAGTTCTGCCATTCTGGGGGAATTCTCCCTTTGTGCGACCTTCCCCAGTGCAGAGGTCACCATAGTCCAACATCTGACAGAGAGAAAAACGAGTTACAGTACCATTATTGTGGTGAAGCAAAAGCCATATAAGAATCTCCATCTGTCGAAGCATTATGAACTCAGCGTAATGTACAAAATTTATTTTTTCTTTTCCTTCGCCATCACATCTTGTGCAACACTGAAAAATGTAGAAATCTAAATCGTCAAAAAGGGTGGAGGAATTGGTTATTCTGATTCCTAATTTTTGCTTAACCATATACACTCCATCAGTATTCGGGTATGAACATGGATGACCTATCCAATCGCTACCGTTGTTCTTCCCCATGAGCTTACTATTCCTCTTTTCAACGTCCTTAAGAATTAATTCGTTGTAACATTTTTCATATTTTTTTCTCACAGAACTAACCATGAGAAAAAGACGAATCATTTTTTGCCAATTGGCTTTCAATAAGTGAACGGAAAAATTTTGAATACATCTCAAAATACACACATACAATTCCCAAGCCTCTAGAAACAGACAAATTTCCTTCTTTGTGCAAATCATTTTTAATTTATGTACAATTATGTTAAATATATAAATCACCTTCTTCACAATTATTTCATTTGTATATGCCATCTTCATGAGTAATAAAAAATAACGCACGTCACTTAAATGTGCATTTTCTAAAAATTTCTCATTATACAAGTAGTCTATATATAACACTTGAAAATTGTACACATCATTTAACAGAGCAGTGTCCATTTTATCAATTTCCTTGAAGTAAACAATTTCATTAAAAGCAAAATATGTGTTCATTATTGACATACTTTCAATGCAACTGTTGTCACATCTTTCCCTTTTGTTTTCTCCTTCTTCTGGAACTAGCATATCAGTATTTTTAAAATCAACATCCACCACTTGATCATTTCTTAAATAAAAACACATACGTTTGATGATGTCCAAACATACTTCTTCGAATTCACTTTTCGTGAATATGTATTCCTTGATTGTGCAGCAGAAATCTTTTATTATAATGTTACGCATTTCGGAGTTTTTCACAAAAGTGACAAAGTTCAAAATTTTTTTTGAGATGTTCTTTACTTCTGCATACCTGCCGATGTGCCTGCGCTCAGGGAGAAAATATACACCTGCCCCTGCACATCCACTTCTATCTGACCCTGCACATCCACTTCTATCTGAACTTGCATCTGCACTTGAACCTCTTTCCTCTGTGCTTTCCACTGGGTTCACCTTATTCCCCACTTGTTCCACAACCAAAATGAACAAATGACACAACCATCCGAAGCTAAACTCTTCATCGTCTAACTCTGTTGCGTATGAAGAACAGATCTGCACATATGTCTCTTCTGCGTTTTCTGCGTTTTCTGCGTTTTCTGCTTTTTCTGCGTTTTCTGCTTTTTCTGCTTTTTCTGCCTTTTCTGCTTTTTCTGCCTTTTCTGCCTTTTCTGCTTTTTCTGCCTTTTCTGCCTCTTCGGCCTTTTCTGCCTTTTCTGCCTCTTCGGCCTCAACGCGCGCGAAGTTATCTCGCTTATCTGACACTTCCGCGATCCGTATTTCTGAGGGAAAACACCCTTTTGCCTTTTTAAAAAGAAGAAAATTTTGATTGTTTTCTTTTACATTGCTTTTAATCCTTTTCTTAATGCAGTTTAATAAAAAAAGCAAAAGATTCAAGATGCCCTTTTCCCCCTTTTCTGTCATGTGAAATGTTAAGACAAGCATATATGCTAAAAATTTAAACAGAATTGGGTTCAAGAATCCATTTAATTTTATCAAGTGAAATACCCAAGAAATGTCAATGCTGAGGAAGTCTCTATTAAAATTTTTCTCAAATAATGAATTTAAAAATAAAATTAAAATCTTTACTTCTTCAAGTGTTTTTTTGTTCCCCATTTTTTTCTCTTTTTTAACTTCGCTAGCTATGTAATTGTTAATACGTACCGCTAGTTTGTATTTATCTACAGACCTCAAGAAAAAATCAGTTATGGCACAAAAGAAAAAAGTGTTCAAAGTCTCCTCATTCTGTTCTATTTTTCTTATATTCGTACGACTGAAATTCAGCAGGGCTTTCAGAACATCTTCTTCGCTGTGCCCCTCGTCTGCCATTTGGTTTGACGAATGGGGAAGATGGGGAAACAGAAGAAATCCACAGAATAAAATGTGACAGTAGGGGAGGAGACGTGGTGGATATTCGGGATGTTTGGTCTGGTCTTCCTTCGAACCAGCTCAATGTACGCACTGAATGTAGCTGTCACAAATGTTTTATGACTTTGTTGGGCGAGATTCAAATTGAAGCAGTTACAACGCAACTTGATTGAACTACTTTTTGGAAAACCAACTTTTCCCCCCTATCTCTCTCTCTCTCTCTCTCTCTCTCTCTATATATATATATATATATATATATATATATATATATATGTACACCGCTAACGGCCACTCCGAGTCGTCGAGAGAACTGCAAAATAATGGACTTTACTTTCCGAGAAAGGAACAAATATCTACCTTTCCTTTTTTTTTTATGAAAAAATAGTCACGCCGATTTGTTTACCTGCCGGTTTTTCTATAAACGTATTTAGCCCCGATTTACTATTTTTTTTTTTTTTTTTTTTTTTTTCTTTCCATATTTTTTCACGATAAACACATCACCCTGATGAGAAGGAGATGCATTTATATATAGCATCTCATTTCATCGAAGAGTTGAAAAGGATTAAAATGAAAAGTTACCATGTCCCCCTCATTTTGAAAACCATGATATAAACCAAATTGGTATTCCTACCAATTGATGATATGTCAAAATAGTTTGATTATAATTTCCTTCCCAATTTTTTTTTTTTTTTTTTTATGCTCATACGAGAGTCAGTCATACGCCTTATGTATGTGGATCATAATGTGTGTGTTCGAATATGTTGTGTACATGTATCTTTTTGAGATTTTAAGAAAAGGTTGAAGCTTCCATGGATGCATACTTGTATTTACCCTTCAAAAAGTAGAAATCCTTTACACCTATCGCAATAATAACAATAGAAGGATTATTTTTGAATTAGATCTATCAACTATGTTACAATAAAAACCTATTTTGTTTCTTCTTCTGAACTTTAAGTCTTTTTTTTTTTTTTTCAAGTCAAATGTTTCTACTTGTACGAGATAAGTGTGTTCGATTCAAAGAAGGTTACTTTGAGTTTGTCTTCAAATTGAAACGTGGTAACATGTAGGGAGAAGTCTACCCCAAAAACAAAGTGAAGGAAAAGGCTTGTTTTGCCATATTTATGTATTCATTTGTTCATTCATTTGTTATTTCATTTGTTCTTTCATTTTTTTTTTTTTTTTTTTGTTGTTGTTGGGCTCCTTTTCGTTAATCTAAATTTTGTTATACCCATTTTGTAAAAAAAAAGAAAAAAAACAGAACGGATGGAAGGAAGGGTTGAAAGAGAAGGACTCTCCATTCAATTATAAAATGTTATTCAGAACCGTTCGGTGTACATACACAAAGACTGATCATTTTCCATAGCTAACAATACCATACAATTTGACTTTCCTAATTCTCCCCTTTTTTTATTTTATTTTTTGGACCTCATTTCAAATGTTCCTTCAGTGTACACAAATATTATGTAGACACAGAAATGGATGGGACAACTTTTTCGGACATTACGTGGGTGAAGAAAAAAAAAAAAAAAAACTAGGAATAAAAAAAAAAAAAAAAGTCATTGTCAATTTGTTCTCAAGCAGCTTTTACAGCTCATATTCCGTTTATATAGCTTGTCATATGTCACTTACATGTTCATCTATTTTGTTCTGCTTTACGTTTTTTTCTCGCATCTTTTTTTATTTTAATAAAAATAGTCAAGTGAATACAAAGTTTAAGGAAGGTGTAATGATGAACCTCTCAACGAGGTACAAGACCGACCAGTTGGCATAATTTTTTTTTTCGTATATTTTTTGGTGTAATTTTTGGTGATTATTTTTGGTGATTATTTTTGGTGATTATTTTTGGTGATTATTTTTGGTGATTATTTTTGGTAATTATTTTTGGTGATTATTTTTGGTAATTATTTTTGGTGATTTTTTTTTTTTTTTTTTTTTGCCTTGACGTTATGGGACTTTTTCAAAGAAACATGTTCCAAGGAATTTTTTTTTTCCTCTTTTCTCGCGCTGTCATTGGGGAAGGTCTATAATGAGGACCCCCTACGCATACATATGCAGATATATATGCAGATATACATGCAGATATACATGCAGATATATATGTATATATATTTGTGCACATTCTGGAAGCACAAATTAGATTTGCATAAGTTGTACATATCTGGGGACTCCCCGTTTAGTTCATTTTTGAGCGACCCCTGAAAAATGAAGACAACATAGATCATACCCGTTTTCTATTTTAGCCCTTTCTCAAAATGGCAAAGCCTGCCGTAAAGACTATTCGTATGAACATTTGTTTCCACCAAGCTTTACATATGTGCACACACAAAATTGTCTAATTGTGTGTATGCCACATATGTCTGATTCATATCTATACACTTTCCTTTCCCTCACCCCATCATCCCTATTTTGTGCATACTCATCCAAAAAAAATTAACCATAAAAATGGATATATATGTACATGTATCTCTCTCTTTTTTTTTTTTTTTTTTTTTTTTTTTTCATTTCTTTTTGATGAAGACGTCCCTGCGCAGAGGGTACTACAAGAAAGATGGACACACAAAAAATTAAACTTTTCCCCACCATTTTTGACCTTACCTTTCCCCATTATTTTTTACCTCCACCTTCCATGCGAGACTAATTCATCCAAATTTATCGTCAACCAGAAAGCTATCCACACCAACAGATATTTTCTTCTCCATTTCAAAAAATTCAGGATGGCATGAATTGAGAAATTCTAGTCAATGCATTGCCCCTTTGTCCTATGGTGGGCCCTGTCCACGTTTTCTACAAATAGAAGACTCAACGAAGCAGAAAAAAATTATGGAACAAGAATGCCATATTTTCTGGTGATATAAGTAACAGTGCGGATGTTCGCCCTGATATACACTGTGCTTTTCCCATCTCTACACTCTACACTCTGCACTTTTCCGTTTTAAATACTTATGAATTTTGTTCCTATCGTAAGGCCTTGCCTTTTTCAGTGTGAAAAAAATTATTCTCTCCAGTGCCCTGAACAATGGGTACCAGAGGACGATAGAATATGCCGCCCTTTGGCAATTTACGAAGGTAAGCCTATAGAATCAAAGATGCACTTGTTCAAATTAGAGAAAAACAAAAACCTAATGTGGTTCATGAGGAGAAAATACAAATTCGAAAAACGCACATCGAATCTTTAAAATTTCTTGTCTGTACATACAAAAAAAAAAAAAAAAAAAAAAAAAAAAACACCTTAACAGGAACATGTCTATTATCCCACGATTTCTCCAATATGACTAATACACAAAAAGAAATCTGGAGCAACAAATGTGGGACTAGTTGGCCATGCAAGGTTAGATGTGGAACCCATCGATTGGATACGTGAAATGTACTTCTATACAATTGAAGGAAGAGAAATTCATCTATGTATTCCATCACTCTACCCATCTACCCAACCAATTTTTTTTTTTTTTTTAAAAGGAACTGTGCAAAAAGGACTATTCTAGGAGATGTCCCAAAGTTCTACCAAGGAAAAATAAATATAACTTACAATATCGAAAGTTGCAAACTCCAATTGAGAACATCCTACTGATAATTCATTGATCAAGTTTTTTTTTTTTTTTTTTTTTTCCTTTTCTTTTTAGGAATGGATTAAAGATAGTACTGTCCATAAAATATATCGTTTACTTTCCTATAACATGTAACATATTATTTTATTTTTGCTTTGTTTTATCTTTTTCTTTTTTTTTTTTTTTTTTTTTTTGGTAAAAATTTAGAGGACGGGAGTTGTTCTGCCCCTACAAAATATTCTGGGCCTTGTCTGTCAAGGGTGTCTTTACTTAATGTGGACAAAGATATCAAAGTTACATATATAACAAAAAAAAAAAAAAAAAAAAAAAAAAAAAAGGACGAAAAACACCATCATACTTGAACATAACGAACAGTCCCAAGCATGTATAATATCACATATTATATCGCTTGGGATAGTGTACCAACTATGAGAATACAACAACTAACATTTCCTTTATTCTTCGAAGGTGGCCTTAGAGAAATTATGCAACTTGAGCTTTCCATGTATAAAGGAGTGTGAAGTGGATATGAATGACGTAATTAAAGAGGACGAAAAAACGAAAAAAAAAAAAAAAATCGAACAATAATGCAATAACACAATAATAGGATAATACAAATGATTATACGGACAGCTTTTTGCTCTGGCAAAAATGGACATACATATATATATATATATATATATATATATATATATATATATATATATATATATATATATATATATATATATATATATATATATTTTTTTTTTTTTTTTTTTTTTGGGACTCGCTTTTTATAGCCTTGTCCCTCTGGATGGTTCCTAAAATCGGATGAATTTGGAAATCCATTGAATTGTTTGCCCCCCGATAACTATGAAGGTCTATGTGGCGAGGAGACAAAATTTATTGGTAACCTTTTCCTCTTTATGTTTCTGTGTGGAGAAACTGTTGTGTTTTAAATATTTGGTGCAATCCAGTCGTATGGGTTTACACATGTGGTAAAACCTATGGCTTGTATAACAATTTCTCTTTTCCAAAGGTCTCATCAGTTTGGAAATGAAAGAGCAAATGGCACATGAGTGTGGCGTGAAATGGCCCTGTGTATCTGGTAATAGAAATGAACTCACCAAAATGGGAAAAATAAAGGAGCCCTAACAGTGGCAGAAGTAGAAGCAGCAAAAAATGGAACGAAAAGGAATCGTACCAAAAAAAAAAAAATAAATAAATAAAAAGGCAGAATAAAAACGATTTACTTGTGTTTGTATACACTAGCTGATTTTGTGGAAGTTAAGAGATATGTTACTCCAATCCCAACACATACACCCTTTCAATGGCTTACATTTTTTTTTCTTACATCACTTTCTTCCTAGACGTTAAATTGGTCAACTATGAGGAACTCTGCCCAGAACGGTGGACAAAAAGCGAAAAGGTAATTCTTTAAATAAATGCGTGATCAAAATAATGCATGTCTGTGGTGTTAGAACCCAATGACACATAAATACATTTTCAAAACCGACTCAGAGGTCGTGTAGACATATACATATAGATATATATAGATACAGATATATACGCATGTTTGAGCCCCCAGACATGGCGTATTTGCAACTTTGAACGAAACATATCAAGAGGTGTGTACACGAACATTGTATTCTTTTATCTTATTATATCTTTTTTTTTTTTTTTTTTTTTTTTTTTTTTTTTTTTCTTTCTCACTCAATCCTTAGTTCTGTGTTGCCCCCACAAATTATATGGGCCCATGCGCAAGGAAAAAAACATTTGTATCATTCAAAAAAGAAATTAAAAAAGCCTACGCTGAAGAATGTAACGGTTAAATTATTTCGTTTTTTTAGCAAATGTAATCAGGCGTATAGCGTGAGTCAAGATGTGTTTATAAGCATTTATGAGTTTGTCTATTGAAGTTCTTTTGCACACACGTTTGCCCAAATGCTTATCAACACGCTTATGTTTTTTTTTTTTTTTTTTTTTTTTCGTTTTTTCCTCCTTGCAGTTGAATGGCCTCCGTTCACAAAGGAAACAACCGAATCTTTCCCCAAAATTTCAGGTACAGGAAAGAAAAGTGTAATGCTGTGCAACTTTTAACATGTACACGTGTAGCTTTTTTTTTTTTTTTTTTTTTTTTTTTTCCATTCCTACATGAAACTTCTCAACTGCAACGGCCCTGACATATTTAGTCTCAAGGAAAAGGAAATATAAGTTTGGGGTTGTGGAACCATTTACGGGGGATATTATTTCTGGAATTGATAAATGAAAAAATATAAAGAAAACTATGGGAGTCACGTAAAATCGCTTTCGCTTTTTATTTCTCTTATCGTGGTAAAGTATCGTTGTTTATATTTTTACAAATTCTGTGTTTTTAGAATAATCATTAATAGCTGTATCAATTTTATTTGTGTATATATATTTGTTCTTTTTTGTCCCGTTATTCAATCCGTCTGTGTTTAAAAATGTAGAAGTGTGCTATGGATTACATCCCATTGAGTATAATTGTCGTTTGTTAAAATGGCGAACATTCATTTTCGCGTGAGTGTCTATGTATATATATATGTGTGGATGTATATATATATGTGTGGATGTATATATATATGTGTGGATGTATATATATATGTGTGGATGTATATATATATGTGTGAATGTATATGTGTATATATGTATGTGTTTTTTTTTTTTTTTTTTTTTTTTTTTTTTTTTTTGCAAAAATGAATAACCGAACAAACTGAACAACTTAGTCCAGTGTATTTTGTGCACGCTGATTGATCATCATAAGTGGGAGCTCAAAGAAAAGTAAAAATAAAAATCCAAACTTAAGTTTTGACTTCAGGGCGATGAATGATTAAGTTTTATACTTAACCTGGTTCTGATGAAACTTCGTTTTCTTTCATTTTCTCGATCTTTCTTATGTTCCTTTATTATTTTCCTTTTTATGTTCCTTTTTTTTTTTTTTTTTTTTTTTTTTTTTTTTTTTTGCTAATGTGCAATCTTTTGATGCTATCCCACCTGACTTGTTCAGGCAAAAAAAATAAAAATAAAAAATAGCCCCATGGATATTTCAAAATGCACAATCAAAATTACGTTTTAAAATATGACCAAATCTTGAAAGTGCAAAGATAAGGGAACATAGTGTGTATATGTTCACTGAAGAAAAAATGTCCAAAGGACAGAGCGAAATATCAAACTTTATGAAAAAAGTTTTTTATGAAAAAGGATCGTTACACGTGCTTTCGCAAATGAGGTTATATATGCGCACGCATGAATGTGCATGCATGTACACACACGAAAAAAGGTGTATTTATTTAAATGCGCTAGTAAAGGATACAATGAAAAGAAAATGGAAAAGAAAGACACTAAATGAATTTCCTCGGAGCGATTACTGATCCCATCAGGGAAACATTTTTGTAGACTTTCTTTTTCCTACCTTTTCTACTTTTTTTTTTTCCTTTATCGTTCAGTATTTACCATCATGGATATGGAAATTCACTTAGTCGACCTGTGTGCATAGTTGGGATACAGCTTATTGATGCAGTTCCTACTAATCGACAAAGACACCACTGTGAAGTTTTACACACCTCTTTATTTTGTTTTTTTTTTTTTTTCATTTCCCTTTTCTTTCTCTGATATAACTAGCTTATTAGTGTTGAAATTTAAAAAAATTGTGCAAAAAAATGGAGCAAAAAAATGGAGCAAAAAATGGCTCAAAAATAACGACGTTTTCTACAATTTATTTCGAAAAAAAATTTCCAACTTTCTTTTAATTTTTAATTTGCATGTACATGTGTCCGGACCTTAGTTAATAAAATGTAAAAAAAAAAAAAAAAAAAAAACTATGAGGTACAAAAAAAGGGTTAAAAACAAACATCAATGAGCAAAGAAAAAAAGAAAAAAATAAAGAATAAAAAGATAAATACATATTCTCGCACTTTCGTACATATGTGCAAATGGACGACCTATTAACCGATCCTCATTGAAATATAAAATTTCTCGCTTACGCTAAGATTAAGAACTATTTTTGGAAAAATAACAAAAGGGGAAATGCGAGGAAGTGAGTGGGAAATGAGTGGAAATGCGAGGAAGTGAGTGGAAATGAGTGGAAATGCGAAGAAGTGTGTGAAAATGAGCGGAAATGAGTGGAAATGAGTGGAAATGAGTGGAAATGCATGGAAACACGAGAAAATAAACGAATATGGATAAGTCGAAAAAAAAAAAAAAAAAAAAAAAAAAAATGAGCATATAAACGGGCTAATACTAAGCATCTAGGGAAAATATGGTCACATGAACAATTAAATGAATAGAATTAACCGCGTCGAATTGCAGAAACTCATTCACCCCCTCCTTCCTACACAAATGCCTTTTTTTTTTTTTTTTTTAATAAAACATAAAAAGGAAATATATAGCATTTGTTTATTTCTATGAATTTTCTTTTTTTTTTTTTTTTTTTTTTTTTTTTGCAATGCGTCCTACGAATAAGTGTGTATAGTAATAAGTGTGAATATAAACGTATTGTTGTGTCTTCCACTTTTTTCCTTTTTTTCCATTTGTCTTAGCTCGCGCATGTGTTGCATGCTTATTGGAGCGTTTTTCTGATTTCACAAGCTCACAAAAAAAAAAAAAACCACATGCGTGGCACATATTCATGGGAACTTATATATTTGACACTTGTGTATGGACGTGTATGCGCATGCACAAGTACTCATGCACATGAATGTAAATTTATTTTTTAAACAAAGCAGATTTGACACATCCACCTTGTACGTAGATTTTACTTAGCTGGAAAAAAAAAAAAAAAAAAAAAAATCGAAAGAGTGAAGTGATAAAATAGTGAAAGAATTTCCAGCACACTACACACTTAACTGAATTGGGAAAAAAAAATTCTCCATATTCTTCATAAAAGTGTTCAGGTGAATATCACACTTGTTCAGCCATTCTATGTTCCATTCGGGGGTGCAGAAAAAAGAAGAGAAAAAAGAAGAGAAAAACGGGGAGAAAAAAGAAGAGAAAAACGGGGAGAAAAAAGGAGAGAAAAAAAAGCAGGGAAAAGGGATGAGCAAAAACAAAGGGAACAAAACGAATAAACATTTGCAAAATAACAACAGAAGAGAAAAAAAAAAAAAAAAAGAAAAAAATTTGGGAAAAATAATGAGAGAAAATATGCCTAACTACTCCCTATCTCACCTTCATAATTACACCTACACACATATACTCAAAGACGAGAGTGTGTATTCATGTGTGTATGTACAGCAATGTACCACATTGCATGATCACGTGCATGCACATATTTTGCACAACATCATGTTAGTGTATAAAACACACTGATACATGAAACCAACGATCGATCTATACAATACGGTAATTTTTTCTCAGAGATACATCTCTCTGTTGTGCCGTTCGACTCCAATGGTACATGAACATGACAATATTGCAGTGTGAATGCATAACCGCATAGGTGCTCAATTGTGAAAGTGCTAACATATGGACAACGTCGATAAACTTTTGAATTTTCCCCCACTCGTCTATTAAGTTCTTCCTTTTATATGAACAGATAAAACTGTAGATTTTTTCCCTTTTTTTTTCCCCTTTTTTTTCCTCGTTTTTCTTGCATTTTTTCTCGCTTTTTTTGCCGCTTTTTTTTTTCCGTCCCGGAGCCCGAAATGAGTGACCATTTTGGAAATTCGGATGAACTCCTAGAAGAATTGGATCTAAAAAATTATGTCATCTTTATAAAAAAATGTTTTAAAAATGGAGTAAAAAAAGAAGAAGAAGATATATGCGCTCAAGACTTGAGAAATTTAGCAAAGTGCCTCCCACGAGTATCAGGGGTTTGGTATGATTTGCATAAAAATAGTTGGGAAGCAAGATGGACAGAAGGAACTAAATCTGCCAGAAAATATTATTCAGTTCAGAAGTTTGGATTTCATGAAGCTCGAAAATTAGCAATTAAAACTATTAAAACGAAAGAAATTAATTATATATATAACAGTATAAGTGAAGATTTCAGCAAGCCATTGAAATGGAACCTGAATAACGATTTTCTCGAAATGAATCATGACCCCACAATTAATTTAAAGAAGAAATGTAGAGCCAAAAATTGCAAAATCAGGGAAAAGAAAATTAAAAAGAATCCTGCCAGTGCTGAAAACCATATTACTGACGAAAACCATATCAATGGTGAAAACCCTGCCAATCACAATAGTGTTTTTAATAAAAAAACCAAATTTGAAAAAAAAAATAACGCCCAAGGTAGAAATTTAAGGAGGGACGATTGTCTTAACAATTTTACTGCAACTAGTATAGCTTCTACAAAAAATGGAAATCATGAAACAGAGAAACTTCAAGATGATTTGAAAGATAAAAACAAAAACGTAACAATCACACAAGGGGATACAAAAAGTTACAGCAACAATAGTGATAAAAGTACTATAAAAAATACATGTGGGGAAAAAAATCAACCTAACCGGAAAATTAACAACACAGGAAAACAACAACATGAAATTTCGAAAATTTGGAACAGTACAGTTTCCAATTCAAACAATGACAAAAAAGGAATTTTTGACATTTCTAGTCAGCTACACATAAAGAATACTACGTTAAACACTTGTTTGAAAAAGAATGAAAATTCTACATGTACAGAAATGGTATTGTGTACGTATGAAAATGATCAATGTAGTAGAAACACCAATCTTTGCAGTATTGCATGTCCAAGTGAGGATGATATTACAGCGAAGGAAAAATTATGCACTCTTATTGAAAAGGTTAAATGCCCCTCTAGCACTGTCAGTGCTGATGTTAGTATTAACCAGAAAGACATGCACAATTCAGTGACAAGCGCAGACAGTAACAACGACCAAAGGGTATCATACAATTTGAGTGACCAATCTATTAATGATAAAAACATCAAGGAAAGAAACTTGCTTAATAAACACACCCTTCGTAAAAAAGTGCAAAATTGCAGTGACAATAACAAATCGAGTGTTATAAAATTTTCTGGAAATAAAATTCTAAACTATATGCTCAATCACAAAAAAAAACCAACATCCAAAAGCACAATTTATCGTAAACAAATTGGAATATTAAAAATTAACATAAAACAAAGCTCTAATAAATTTTTTACCAAAGAAAATGAAGGGATATGTAGCAAAAAAAATGCAAAAAAAAAAAAAAATTTTTTAAATGAAAAAAATACATGCATAAGTGAAAACTCTGTTTATATAAAAAAATTTAAAAATTGTAATAATCCTGATATTTTTTTTGCGAAAAATGGAAATATCGAGACCAACCAAAATTATAGAAACTGTGATTTCAAAAGGAGGCAGTTGAAAGGTCTTCATGACAATGATACCCTATTGCTTACCCCTCACCCTTCCAAAGAAACGTGCGAAGATAATGGAAGCGATGCGAATGAAGCAAGTGAAGAAAAAGTGAATGCATTATCAAAGGTGGATGGATTTTCAAAAGTGGACGAATTTTCAAAAGTGGACGGATTTTCAAAAGTGGACAAATTTTCAAAAGTGGACGAATTTTCAAAAGTGAACAAAATGAACAAGACAGAGAAACATCATGACAGGGAAGAATGTGAACAAGGCATACTCACGGGTGGAGAAGCGGATATTTATAACCAAGGGAACATACAAAACTATGAAAGAAGCACCAACCGGGAGTGCAAAGACATGGATATTTTGCACAAAGATGCAGAAGTGGAAAATAGCACATCTTTGAGTATCGAATGTGGTGACAAAAAAAAGGACAAAGTAGAGAAAAAGAAATGCTCTGTAGAATTAAATTTAAAAGAATCTATACATCCTGACACGCTTAGCATATTCAAAAATGCAATTAATTTACTCTTAAACGACTTGAAGAGCAAATGTATACCTCATTTCGACAAGCAGTTTTTAAACATCCAGGAAATTATCGACAATCATATAAGTTACGTAAATTCAATGCTGAACGAAAATATTTTAATCACATATGTACACTTGTTCGACATTTGTGTGTCTAACAATATTTTGCCAAGTCAAATGGATCAAAAAGTTCAAACGGTTTTCTGCAATGCATTGATTGCATTTCACATCCTCCTTTTCAATTTCCAAAAGGATAAAAAGAATGAGGGCGCGTGCTAAAGGGGGGAGACTCTTCCATTTTTTGCTGGATAATTTGGGCGGAAATTTGCGCTCTAACTTGGGCGAGAGTTATTACACGAATTTACAATTATAAATGCGAGTGTGTGGTTGTCTAGGGATGTTCCAACATAGCTTACTTACACAAATATACATAAACGCACATGAACATGTGCAGAAAAATGTGCATATAGAATTAATCCTACGACGCAAAAATGAACATGTGTATACATATACACCTTTCTGCGCAAAATTACACAAAAAAATATGAACTTAAAAAAAAAAAAAAGAAAAAAAAGCGCATGTACACCATGGGTAATTTTTGATCACATATACTGATAATAGGAAAGACGTGACCACTTACGTTACATATCAAAAATTGAACGAAACACAATGATATTTTTTAACGTTTTATGTATGGTATATGGTTTGGGATTCCCAGAATGATCCTGTGCATGTGTGTGTGTGCTTATTTATATTTATATTTTTTGCCATTCAAATGATTTGTAAGCTGTGAGAAAATATTCTAATATATTAAACACAGAATTTGGCATTCTTACAATTCCATAAACGCGTAATATGTTGCGTGAGTAACATACCACTTAACAACAGAAACAGGTTGTAACAGAGAAATGCTGTACCTTTTTTTTTTTTTTTTTTTTTTTTTTTTTTTTCCATGTTTGCGTGCGCAAATATGTATTTCTCTAACTTTTTTTACCTGAACGAGCTAGCTAACTAACCTCATATTTTTGCAAATATTCATTAACAGTTCATACAGAAAATTAAAAAAAAAAAAAAAAATATATGAACTTTATTTTTTTTTTTTGCAAATTATGTCATGCGTGCTTTTCCCATTTTGAGTAGCATACTTGTCACCTGTCCCATTTTACGTAACATACTTGTCGCCTGTCCCATTTTTACATAACATACTTGTCGCCTGTCCCATTTTTACATAACATACTTGTCGCCTGTCCCATTTTTACATAACATACTTGTCGCCTGTCCCATTTTTACGTAGCTCCTTCTTGTTCACCTTTTTCCCCTTGCTGGTTTTCCATCTTCACACTCTTTAACCATTTCATTTTCCTCTCATATTTGGACGGTTTTCCAGAAAAGACAATTCTTCGTGGAATTCTGTTAAAATTTTCATCGTCTGGGTTATATTCTGAATAAACAATATCGTGCGTATTTTTTTTTAACAAGAGGCACCTACCCCCCTGCTTAATAATTTCGCGAGCAGCCTTAACTGTAAATGCGTGAGCTTTGACAAGGACATTTTTAGCATAAAATTGGAAATCGAGACCATATTTCATTTTATATTTCTTCAAGTTACATCCGACAACTTTAATTGGATGTCTTCGTTTGTATTTTCCTATTTTCAACCCTAATTTGTCTATAACATTCCAATCAATTTCCAAGTACTTTTTTTCTCCACTTCTTGTATATGCTAAATTAATTAAATTTAGAGGAATCAATTCATAGTCATATCGATTGAAACGATGACCTGGTCCTAATGGGGCAGCAACAAATTTTGGCAATTTCCTATATAATGGAGTTTGTCCTCCTTCAAACCCGATGGGTATAGACCCCCCACTTCTACTTTTTTGTCCTTTCATTCCTCTTCCTGACGATCCTCCTCTTTTACTTCCTACTCCCCTTCCTTTTCGTTTTTTTTTTTTTTCATTTAGGGATGGTATATTAGATGGAGTAATGAAATATTCATTTTGTTCTCTGTTTCCACCTACAACTGTTGATTCCCAGTAGACATCAGCTTTTAACTTCATATTATTGATTAGTGGGTATACAGCCCTAGGCCAGTCCATCTGTGTCAAATCCCATACTAAAGGGGTTTTTGTCTGTTCATAGAAATCATCCATAATTTTTTTGATCCCTAATTGAATAGCTTTTTCTTGGTATTTTACATTAATTTCATTTATTTTTTTTTGGATATCTTCTCTCAATTTAACTAAAAGTTCATTTTTTTCATCGTATATTAAATATTGGTTTTTTTCGATTTTCTCTATTTCTTTTATTATAGGTTCTATAGCTTCTTCCTGTTCTTTCATTACTTTTTGTAAAAATGCCTTTTGTTCTTCATTGTAAGGGGATTTAAAGGTACCATTTCTTATGTCTTCTTCGAGCTGTTTAAATTGCTTATACCTCAGATATATTTTTCTGTTTATTAATGCTTTGTACTTTTTGTCTACTAGCTTTTTTTCTTCTTTTAATTCTTTGAACATGGTATTGGCCCTACCTATTTTAAAACTTCCATCGAGCATGGTGCCAAAGATGCTTTTCAATTCGTTTTTCTCACTTGTATCATGTGAATCATTTGGGTCCTGACCACCTTTGTCCTTGTTGATCTCATCGCAACTTCTTTCCTTCTTTTTTTCCTTAGCTAATTTTTCCTTTTCCAAATTGAAATCTATATTAAACTGTCTTTTTACCTTTCCTAACAAACTATTAATTGTGTCAATCATGTTATACTTTTCCTCTACCTCTTCTTCTTTAAAGATATTCAGTGGGGGCTTCTTCCTATTAGGAAAATTCGCTTTATATTTCCCATCCACCAGAAATCTTTTCTTCATAATGCTGAGTGGTTGACCCCTTTTACCTTCGTTTATTATGTATCCCCTTAAGAGTGTTGCACAGAATAGCAGGCAAATTATGCATCTCATTTTTTTGGCATCATTTTAGTGACGTCATTTTGGTTCTTAACAAGACTTAGACACTACTGATGTGTGAATATATCCACATGTTTTTTTTTTTTTTTTTTTTTTTTTTTTTTTTCATTCAGCACATGAGTAAATTGTTTTATAATGATCCTTTATATTTTGTGCTTCCTCTCAACTATTTAATTTAAAAAAAAAAAAAAAAAAAAAAAATATCTAATTTGTGCATGCAGAATGCATACCTATGGGGTGTATACCCCCTCTCAGATGTTTAAATTGGTAAAGGATCAATACTCCGGATGATTGAAAAAGGATCATTTTTATTTACCATACATTTTGTGTCCCTTCTACAGTTAAAGAGGGATATTAGAAACGAGCTTACATGTTATTTCTGCAAATGGTGGTTTGTTTCCTGTTTTGCACACTTGTGTTGTCGATGCTGTGTTGTCGATGCTGTGTTGTCACTACTGTGTTGTCGATGCTGTGTTGTCGATGCTGTGTTGTCACTACTGTGTTGTCGATGCTGTGTTGTCACTACTGTGTTGTCTCCACTGTGTTGTTACTACTATATTACCTCTGTTGTGTCTTTCCTGTGATGAACACCTTGAAAACATATTTCCCTATTTGGTATCTCTTTGGTCTCCCTCTTTTGCTGAAATGACGAATAAGCTGGCTCACCAAAATGCACATATATATATATATATAAATACAATATGCACATTCGTATGTGCCTCCAGCGGGGAATTAACTAACAAGGGAGGTGTTCAAATGGAGCTTTAACAAAAAGAAATCTTCGTACATCTTTTTTTTCATATTTTTTTAAATGCTAATTGTTGTATACACATAGATTTTGTGTATATATTATTGTGTGCAAAGTCATTTTCTTTTCCTTTTTTTTTTTTTTTTTTTTTTTCCCATCACTTCATTTTACGTATAGGTAATGAACATTTGCATTAAAAAAAAAACTAAAAAAAAAAAAAAAAAAAAAAAAAAAAAAAAAAGGTAATTGTTTCGTGTAAGCACGTATGAATATTCTTACATACTCATTTGCCCCATTGTGATTTTGTATGCAAATTTTAAGGCACGTAGAAAATCTTCCAAGTTTTTAGAATTCGGTTTTCTCCTCTAAGGGAACTTTTCTACTTACAAAGAAAAAATATAATTTTTTGTGAAAAGTTGCATCATTTTATTTTGTTGTAACGTATAAATTTTTGTATGCATGTTCATATAAATTAAGCGAAAATAAATGATTTTTTTTTTTTTTTTTTTTTTTTTTTTTTTTTTTTTTCTTTTTTTTTTTTTTTTTTTTTTTTTTTTTTTTTTTTTTTTTTTTTTTTTTTTTTTTTTTTTTTTTTTTTTTTTTTTTTTTTTTTTTTTTTTTTTTTTTTTTTTTTTTTTCTGATAAATTTTGCATGTGAAGGAAAAACACATCAAATAACGATATGAAGGAAATTTCCATTAATGAAATTCATTCCTTACCCCAGAGGGATAGGCGAAAGATTAGTAGAGGGAACTCAAGTGATGATATAGAGTCTGAGGATAACTGCGAGAAGAAGGAACGTGACCATAGGGAAGTATCAGGTGGTAGTGATGAAATAAGTGGTAGTAGCGTGAATATTGAAAGCAGTGAAAATGTTGACAGTAATGTGAATATTGAAAGTAGCGATAAGACTGGAAGTATTGAGAACATGGGAAGTAGTGACAAGGGGAACCCACAAAATGTAGGTTTACCTTATGAAAAGAAGATAATACAAGATGATCGTTTGGAAAAGTCATACAGTTATGAATATTTGGATCATCCAGCTGATGTTATTTTACACAGTTATGGGAAAACATTAAGGGAATGCTTCGAGTCTTTGTGTGTTTCAATGTTTAATTACATGTGTAATTTGAATGATGTGGAATTAAAAATATCGAAACAAATAATTGCAAGAGGATCAAGCATGGAAGATTTACTATATAATTTTTTAACAGAATGCCATTTTTTATATGGTAGTGAATATTTTATATGTAAAGCTATTGATATCCTCGTATTTGACAACGTGACATTTTATATTGAAGCCCATGGATTTGGAGATTTCTTTTCCTTAGATATTCATGAAAGTGGTACTGAAATAAAAGCAATCACAAAACACGAATTAAAAATTTGTCTAAATGATGATCTTTGTGAAGCCTTTGTCTTAGTTGACATATAAATAACAATCTACGCGGTTCGAAATTTATATTTAACAGAAATTATGTGACCATATGAGGAAAGGAAAAAAAAATCTTCTTTTGAAAGAGTAATTCGATTCAAGGGAATGAAAATCACAAATATGGAAAGAAAAAAAAAAAAAAAAAAAAAAACAAAAAAAAAAAACATATAAAATATATATCACATTGGAATGTAACACCTTTTTTTCAAAGTAGTGTAGTTTCTTTATCCTTTTGGAAGAAACGATTATGCACATATATAACATTTGTCTCCATAGGTGGTATAGATAAAAAAGGTGGAGTAAGTAAACATAGTAAAAATATTTCTTTCTTATGTAAGTTTCTATTTTGTGAGAGAAGGGATGACGCACCTCTCCACCCCATCCCCTAAACACACACCACTTTCTCTAAAGTGCATCAAACGGTATGGATAAATGAGTCTCATTTTTATCTTGTTATTATACTGATTTTTTTTTTTTTTTTTTTTTTTTTTTCTTCCCTCTCCTCCCCCTTATTTTTGTATTTTTGTTTGTTTTTGTGTATGACTATTGTTTCCCCCTTTTTGGCACCACAACTTAGCATGGTGATTCTTCCAAAAAAAAAAAAAATAAAATAAAATAAAAATACATCAGCTCTGCCTGTCCCACTTCTTATCTTTCTGTATATGCATCCAAAACAGATATTCTATATCATTGGGTGAAGTAGTAGAAATAGTTACAACCACAGAGGCACCATAAGTTTTTCCTCATTTAGGTATACAACATTGGGGTATATATATGCTGAGCATACAATTTTTTCCATGCAAGAATCGTCCGATTACATAGGTATACATTTATATAACACACACAGGCATAGTCTCACACCCACGTACCACTATGGGCAAAAAAAACAAAAATAAAAAATTCCCTTGAATTTGTCCCAACCTCATGGTGTGAAGTTCAAAAAAACATTCTTAAAAGATGGTGTAGAAATGCTCATCCCTTTTTTATTTTTGACATTATCAAACTGTTCTTGTGTCCCATGTAGCACTCTACAAGACTTGAAAAATTTTTAATTTCCCCAAAAAAGGAAAATAAAAATATATATTGAACACAGAAAAATGAAAACGGTAAAACGAGCAGTGGTGTGCTATGGAGGAGAAATATACATAGAGTAACAAATTGAATTCTCGTTTTGCTTTTCCGTAAGAGTTATTAGTTTTTTTTTTTTTTTTCCCTTTTGTCATCATTCCGGGAAAAAACTTGTTCATATGATGAATACTGCAACTGCAACCTTATTTAAGGCCCACCCCCAAGTTTATTATTATATAAGATATCTTCATGTGTCCCGAATTGGTAAATAAAAGAGCTATAGAGGGAAAGGGCTTGGGAATATATATATATATATATATATATATATATATATGTGTATATATATTTTTTTTTTTTTTTTACACGACAAAATATGACTATTTTCAATTAACAGGATTTTCCAAGTATTCATGTGTGAGGTGCAAAAACTTGTTCTTCTTTGGAACAGTTGGCTAGCGATAAAAAAAAAAAAAAAAAAAAAAAAAACTATAAAAAAGCTATAAAAAAATTATGAACAAACCTTAAAAAAATTATGAACAAACTATAAAAAAAATTATGAACAAACTATAAAAAAAATTATGAACAAACTATAAAAAAAAATTATGAACAAACTGTAAAAAAAATTATGAACAAACTGTATAAAAAATTATGAAAAAACCATAAAGAAACTATAGAGAAACTATAAAAATGTGTATACACGTAGTGTGCATACACATGTTTACATTTACAAAATTGGTAAATCAAGAAGGAAGCATAGTTACCCTTTTTTCTTCCACAAATGAAATGCCCTTATATGAACAGCTACACTCCCATTTTAAGTCCACATTTATATATACATATATATATAAAACTACTGAGACAGTGAGACGCAGGGCATTACAATTCATTCAGGTGTAAGGAAAAATACGAGCATACAGACAGTACGCCATTCCTAGCCCACCATTCCCGTGTGTGTATATCCCCATCCTTCTTTTTGTTAGGAAGGTCTTTTGGTGATTCACACAAAAGGGTGACTTCATAGGAGGAAGCTAAGGGCACTGTAGTTGGTTAATAAAAAAAAAAAAAAAAAAGTTGCATGTTCTAAAACTTGCATATTCTAAAACTTGCATATTCTAAAACTTGCATATTCTAAAACTTGCATATTCTAAAACTTGCATATTCTAAAACTTGCATATTCTAAAACTTGCTTATTCTAAAACTTGCATATTCTAAAACTTGCATGTTCAAAACTTGCATGTTCAAAACTTGCATATTCTAAAACTTGCATGTTCAAAACTTGCATGCTCAAAAATTTCCTTGTTCTAAAACTTGCGTGTTCAAGTGTTAACCTCGCACAATTCAAGAGAGTCTTTTTTGAACCCCATTAGCGTAGCATTTTGGACAGGTTGAGAGGAGACACGGATAGACGGATAGGAAAACAAGTGCAATGGCTCCGAGAAAAAGAAAAATTGGGAACACAGGTTGTGCTGTGAGAAAAGGAGTAATAGTGGACTTGCTGAAAACTGCTATACCTAGCGAATCGTCTAACACAAGGAACACAAAAAATTCTAGGATTGCAAAGAACTTGGGAAATCCAAATAATAAGAGGAATGCAAAAAGGACAAGATGTAAACGAAGAAAAAGGAAAGATTACGATAAACTGCCTGACTTTTCATGCCTAAAAAAATTAATCTATGAACAGAAAAGGAAAGACAACATATCTAACTTATTCTCTTTTAACGATCCATGTATAAAAGAAAAAATTGATAAATTTAACAAAATAATTGAAAGGAGAAAGGAGTACTATTATGACACCAGTGATAGTAAGGGACAAGATGAAATAACTCCCAATGTATGTGAATCTTCTGCTTTTGGATATACCTTTATCGATAAAGTTATGAATTTCTCTAATAAGGAGGATATAGATGACTTAATACAGCATGATGAAGATGAAGAAATAGATGAAGATGTAGATGCAGAAGTAGATGAAGAAGTAGGTGCAGATATGGATGCAGGTTCTGATTCAGATTTTGATTCAGATGCAGATACAGAATATGGAAATAATCGAAGAGAGAATCAATATGACAGCCAATCAGACGTCTATCATCACTATAATGAGGAAAATAACGAAAGAGGTATACAATGCTTTAGACACATGGATGAAGAGTTCATAAAGAAGAATATGAAAAACACAAATTGGGAATATGAAAATAGGGGGAATAAAAATGACAGAAAAAAAAAATTGCCTAAGGGCTACGTCGGTATGAGTAATAATAAAAAGAAAACAGAAAAAATGAAAAGAACAAATTTATTTAATAAAAAAGGAATTATAGATAGCAAAAAAAAAGATCTCATATTGGACCAACTAAAACTGAAGTTTGATGAATTCAAAATAGACACCTTGACGATTCCTCAAAGGCCAATAACCATTATTGATGAAAATGGAATTCAGAAGAAGAAACTCTTTATATTTAACATAAATAATAGTAGTGGAAAAAAGAAGAATGAAAAGAAAAGGATTCAAATAGTGTATGACACAGAGGGGGATCAGTCGATTACGCAGAATTTGTCAGCTCATAATTTGTCACTTAATAATTTGTCACTTAATAATTTGTCACGTAATAATTTGCCCGCTCAGAATTTGTCACCTCACAATTTGTCTCCCCACAATTTGTCATCCCACAATTTGTCACCACATAATTCGCTACCTAACAACCCTCAAACAGAAATGCAAACGCAAAGGCGAGACGAAGGAGACCTAATCGAGCTGGTGAATAGAATAAGTGAACAGAAGGAGTCTTACCTCTATTTTGTGGTGAAAAATAATCAGCTGTTGTTGAAGAAGAACAATGACTATTTCAGCATCATGATGCATTACTTATGCGAAGGGTCACCAAATATGAATCTCCAGATGAGATATTATTTAATTATGAAACCACCCAACATGGATATGTTGTTATATCTTATTTTGACATATTATAAATTTTCATTTATCGATTTAGTTGAACAATATCAAAATATATCCATTAGTAACATAGTGGAAAGTTCCTTTGAGGAAATGATTCTTTATGATTACTATTACTACTTTTTTCATATTTTAGAAATATCACATGAAGAATTTTACATGTCTTTAGAAGTATTCAACAGTATGAAGTTTCTTCTTAGCAAATACAATTTTTTTCTTAGTAGGATGCACAAGGATTCTATTTTTTCTAAAGCCAAGTTCGTGTTAGGTATGGGAGACATAGAGAATGTCGATGAAGTGTTTCTTCCCCCATCAAAGGGATTGCCATATGAAAGAGAGAAAGAAGAGCAGGAGGAGCAGATGGAAGAGGAAGAAGATGCTTCTACCAAAGTTCCCACTAAAGCAGAAAAAAACGTGATGTCGAACTTGACAGATGGAGAGACAACCAATGCAGAAGAAAGCATAGAAGAATTGGAATTAGAAGAAAAGAAAACAACAAATCAGGCAACAAATCAGGCAACAAATCAGACAACAAATCAGACAACAAATTCGTGCAAATGTAGGTATAGAAACAGAAGAACACAGCATCTTAGGAGAAAAAACGGAACATTGCAATACATTTTGAATACCAAACTTGATTTTATAAATTATCAACAAAAGAACTTCTTCAATGAAACACATTGGAATGAGATAGAAAATTATAATCACTTAAATAATCTAGATAAACTAGTGTACTTTACAAAAGATTTGTATTACAAATTTACAAAAAAAAATATTTATCATAAATTAGACGAAATAACATGTGAACAGAAGCATTTGGATAAGGTACAAATGATTGAACAGTGCAAAAAAAAATTACCCTTATACAAAAAAAATGTCAAATTTATGAATTTTCTTGGTGTGTATTCACACTCATTTGTATGGCAGGTATACTGCATGCATCTGGAGTTATTTTGCATTTTGAAGTTTAAGAAAATACGTCCTTATTATTATCCATGGATTAGTCAGATGAAGAAAATCTCAGTGTTAGAGGATAGCACTTCCCTTGATTGTGGTAAAGTAAAAGGGGAGAAAATAGGAGCTGAAAATGGTGATTCAAATCTAAAAGAGCTACTTCATCAGGAAAATGACAACCCAATAAAGATAATGCATGAACCAAAAGAAAATTCGTTTTTGCAAGAGTACAATCTGAGAGACATAGAAAATGAAATAAATGCATCTCTCAATTTTTTTCATAACCAAGTGAAGGATAAAAAAATAGAAAATTTGTATATCCCCATTTCAGTTGAAATTAATAAAAAATTGATTGAAAAAACAAAATATATTAATGGAACTCCTCTGAACGAATTTATATATAGTGAATTTTTATCAGGTATTGATTTAAAATTGCGCGTATTTAAATTAAAGTGCATTGTTTTAAAAATAATTAAAATTATTTTAACCTTTTTAGATTTCCATACACTTATTATTTTGAAATGTTCAAGAATCTTTCTCAAGGAAGACAGCTTAATAATAAATGGTGGAATTCCCTTGGGTTTTCTCTCACCCACATCTTTACGTTTCCTGCTCTACAATATTGATGAAACCATTGCGACCAAGTCATACAGCAAGACTATTTTTCATTACATTCCTCCCGAGATAAGAATGGCTTTGCACAGAATTGGCAGCAGAGAAGGGAACGATGGACAGAGCGCTGGCTTGAGTGGAGGGTGTGAGAACTGCTTCCATCTGATGGATAAAAGCAAATTGGAAAAGGCATATTCTTACATGATTGGAAAAGTGTTTGAAGAATCTCTAATCGACACATTCACTGGGGATAAGTTCGACTATCTGAATTTCGATGAAGATGTTAAAAACTTCCTTCTATGTTGTTTAAAAGAAAATTTAAATGATAGAGAACCAATCAGCAAATTGCCATATCATAAGTGCTTTTCAGAATGCTTTGACTTGTATATAAACATTTATGATGACAATATAAATTCGTATAAGAATGACAAAGAAAAGGCAATTAGGTTACGGGATTTAAATTACATTAACAATTTTGATTACAACATTTTTACTATTCCATCTGAATCTTCATCCCGTCTTCCTTCCTCATCTGATTCAAGGAATTTCAACACCTCTAGCCAATACTCCTCTTCTTACAATGCATAGTTCTAGTAGTCGTCTCTATCCCTGTTACTCATTTGTGCACTCCAAATTATATTCGCAGCTTTTAAGAATGAGATTCTACTGTTTTTTTTTTTTTTTTTTTTTTTTCCATCACACCCCTACCCCTCCACACACTCCTCCATTTTTCTTCCTTATTTTATTTTTTTTTTTTATTTACACCCATTGTATAGATATACAACCGAATGTACAATTTTGTGGCATATAATGATGTAACATAAAGAAGTTTATCATGTACTGTTCGTAAAAATTTTGAAAAAAAAAAAAAAAAAAATCAGTGTTGAGACTTACTTTTAATCAAGTATGGATATAATATATCGATACACTTTTGAAGATTTTCATAACTTTTTCCACCTGTTAAGGTTATGTTTCCTGTTGAGAAAATACTAGCCGAGACGACATCTACTTTGTTTCGGATTTTTTCTGCATTGCTTTTGGTAGTGTTCCATGCGTAGTTACCTTCATTTTGCTGAGTAAGACGAAAGAGAAGAAGGAGTAGGTATAAATGTCTTGTTTTGAGAGGGGTGTATGAACTAGTGAATGACCCAATCAAGCGAAAACCAAAGGTGGTATAACATAAAAAATGAAATGGATATTTACATCGCTCATCTCGGACGTGTCCTTTTCATTTTCATTCGTCAGGGCAATTTTCACTTTGCAAGCGGGGAAAACATTTGGATCGTAGTCTACCTATAAGTATAGTTGGGAAAATGGGAGCGGAGTTGGAAATGTTCCACATAACCGAATCCACTGCTGGAACAACAGAAATGTGTAATCATAAAATGAATATGCACGTGTAAGACCAGCTATGTATGAGCAAGATAACTCAGAGATGGGCAAGTATATATATATATATATATACATAATTGTCACTTAAAAGAACGCCATATGGAGGGAACACAAGTCGGAAGCACGTGAGGAATGCACTGAAGAAGAAGCAGCAAGAACGCAATTCGTTCTATATATATATATATACCAAATGTGAACATATAAAATATTCTTATGTGCCTTTCCTGAATAGAAGAGATAACGCATAACGTAGACGAGAAGGAAAAAAAAAAAAAAAAAAAAAAAATGTATTGCTCGGGAGCGAACTCACACTTTTATAATACTGGGCAAAGAGGGGTAGCACAATAGAGAATCCCACATTGTACACTGCAAGAATATTTGTTATTGTTATATTTTTTAGTTTTATATTTTTGAAATTTAATTGCTTTAATTTTTTTTCTATTTTTTTCATAGCTATTTTGCATGCTTCGATGGAATTATTTCCTGTGCATATTATTTTCCCGTTCGAAAATATAGACACGTTTATAATAATTTTTTCATTCATATGGTTATTATCTTCAGTTATACTTTGTGAAATAGGAATGTTGTTACATATCTTAGTGGTGAAATAACCAGAGGGTGAGCAATTATCTGTTTTGACTATACCATCAGATGATACACCAACAGATGTCGTTGATTTGTTATTTTCTTCTCTGCCAGTGCTGATTCTTGTGAGATTTGTGACTTCCACTTGTGATGTATCTCGCGTCGGATCACTACTGGGTGTAGTAGTTGTTGTGGTTGCTTCTGCTTTTGCTTCTGCTGTTGCTTCTGCTTTTGCTTCTGCTTTTGCTTCTGCTGTTGCTTCTGCTGTTGCTGCTGTGGTGGGGGTAGCCTCCCCTTGCGAAGGCATATGATCATCATCACCACATTCAACAACTTGCATCTTAATTTTTCTCCCACCTGTTTTCTCCCTAATGTAATTTACATATTTATTTATAGTGCGTGTACTAACAGGGACGTCAATACGCATGCACTTGAACTCTCGAGGATTGTATATACAATTGGCAAAGTGCTTGTATATGTTATCAAGGTTGAGGGAAGAACACAATATTGCATTCATAGAAATGTTATGAACACTCATGTTACTTTCACCCTGGGCAAATATATTCTCACCTTGTTCATTGTTTAATTTCAATTTCTTCCTAGGTTGTGCCATGGCTCCCTCTACCCCAGAGGGAGTACTCTCCTCGGCGTTTCTATGGATCGGTTTAGGTGGTTGCTTGGCGTGACTGTTGCTGTTTAAGGGATCTGCTATTCCTATTTGATCAGTTGTACTTATCTCAAAAAAAAAAAAAAAAAAAAAAAAAAATTGTTTCCCTTCCTAAAATGGCTAGTTCCTTCTCTTAATGGCTAACTCGGGGGATAGGAAGATCACTATAGGCAAAAAAAAAGAAAAAAAAAAAAAAAAAAAAAACATACACGCATACATACATACATACACACATGCATAATGTATATACCATATGTGTACATAGTGTGTCGTGCATATTCCCTCTTAACGCTCGCAGGCTACTCAATTTTTTTCCCTTTCGACACAATTGCATCTGCGCCTAACATTTCCAGTTAGTACAGTGTATATAAGTCTTACTCCTACGCATCACACAAATTGGGGATGGGGAGAGGGAGAAGAATAAGTCTCCTTATCTTTTTTTTTTTTTTTTTTTTTTTTTTTCTTTGTGCATATTTATATTTTGTGAAGGCATATATCTAACATAACAAAAAAATTAATCTAACTTTGTTGCAATTAGTTGTTTATTCAATCAGCTCAATTATTCAGTTTGTTTATTCTGTTTTCCTTTTTTTTTTGTGACTTTAGAACGAATGAAATATGATCCATCTTAATTTCCGTTTTTCACAAAAACAGAATAAATATAATAAGGGGTAAAATTTTTTAAATGTGAGTTCTTTTCGTTTTGCTCTGCTCTGCTTTGTTTTTGTATTTTTTTTTTCGTTTTTTTTTTTTTTGTTTTTTTTTTTTTTTTTTTTTTTTTTTTTTTTTTTTTTTTTTTTTTTTTTTTTTTTTTTTTTTTTTTTTTTTTTTTTTTTTTTTTTTTTTTTTTTTTTTTTTTTTTTTTTTTGTATTTTTTTTTTTGTATTTTTTTTTTTGTATTTTTTCTTTGTCATACACAGTGCAGCGGGTATTAGAGGCAAAAGTATTTTCAATGAATTAAGTGTAGCCACATTCGTATCGCATGTCGAGAGAAATGTAGCTGAGAAAAGCCGATCAGTTGAGACGCAAATAAAATTGAACCCCTTCAAGAAGGAATAGGTGTCGCGAATCGACATATCGTTTCTGTTTTACAAATTTTTCTTTCGTTAAAGTGGATCTAAACAGAGCCCTCTCCTCTTTCTATCAACAGGAGTCACAGAGAGAGAGAGAGATATGAAAAAAAATTTATCTTATCATCTTCTATACGTAAAGTTCGATTGCTTATGTGAATTTTCTCATGCTACTTTTTCCAGAAGTGGGGTAATGTTGAGTATAGAAAAGAGTAGGGGGAGGGTGTAATGATAATATATGGAAAAAAAAAAAAGGGTAGCAAAAAAGGGGCAGCAAAAAAGGGGTAGCAAAAAAGGGGTAGCAAAAAAAGGGTAGCAAAAAAGGGGCAGCAAAAAAGGGGCAGCAAAAAAGAGGCAGCAAAAAAGGAGCAAAACATTTGCAAGGGTGTGTTAAAATTTGTTTAAGAAATATTTTTATTACAACTTCACCAACTTGGTCACCTCCGAGAGAATCACAAATTGTGGTGAAGAGTCATGATAATGATGCCCTTTTCGTAAAAATGCACGTGCATCATGAAAAGGTAATTATCACTTTAAGGAAAATATAGAAAAATATAGAAAAATATAGAAAAATATAGAAAAATATAGAAAAATGTAGAAAAATACAGAAAAATGTAGAAAAATGTAGAAAAATGTAGAAAAATGAAGCAGGGTTCATAATTACATATTCAGATATCCAAAACAGTATATATATACACATATATGCATATATATACATGTGTGTATAGCGAAAAAAGGGGTATCTCAATTTTGCCCTCAGAAAAAAAGGGAAATTTTGGTGCTGATTCATTTAATCAATTGTTGTAGTTTATATACAGAGGGACACACTAAACCCATGTAAGGCTTATCAATAAGTTGTCTTTTACACATCGTCGTGTGGTTTTGTATTTAAAAAAAAAAAAAAAAAAAAAAAGTGGGGAGAAATATATAGGGGAAGAGGAGGCCCGTTTTATCATCAAGTACTCACGGGATCAAAGTAGGAAATGCATGTGACAATAAACGTAGACTTCAGAAACATCGGTGAAACACCTCAGGAGAGACTAAGATTTTACCAGTAAACTTCCTCCCTTTTCATGCAAAAATGGAGGATGAAGAAAAGGAAGAGACAGACAGAGAGTATGTACAGGGACGAGAAGATGTAAACATGTTAAGAGGAACAAGAAATGCCAACTATACAAACAACTCGCAACCCGAACCAGCAGCAACAACCACGACAGTGTGTAATTGGGCAGAGGCATTGTGTGGGTCGTTGATATCTGATTTAATGGTAAATAATACTAAGGGAGAAGAGAAGAGGAAAGTGGAGATTTTTGAAAATCCAGAGAAATTCAAAATAGTGGAAAATAAGCCAGAAGTATATGAGTCAATATATTCAGACAAGTTATTGTTCAGAGACAATCAGGTAGAATACGAACCAAATGGAATAAACAAGCTAAATAGAAACATGTATGAATCTACCCAAAGATTAGAAGTAATTGATAAGATTTGCAATGCATGTAACTTTTGTGAAGATGTATGTTTCTCCACAGATTGTGTAAACTGCGAAAAAAAAAGGAAAAATTTGTACGAAAAATATAAAAAATACAAAAAACAAAACTTAAGAATATGCCAAAAAAAAGCTAAACTTATGTTCAAGTTAAATAAACGTGTTCGGAGAGACATACTATTGGGAAGTCATTCAATGGAAAAGGGGTATGAAGAAGAAAAATTTGTGAACACAGAAAAAAATTGCACAAGCGAAGAAGGCATAAAAGAGGAAAAGCAAAGCAAAACCCCACTTTCTACTATCAACAATATTGATGAGAATGAAAAAAGAGGAGATCAATATGACACACTAAAGGATGTCATCAGAAAGAGCACAAGCATGAGCAATAATGAATGGAAAACTGAAGAAAAGGGAGAAAAAACTATAAATTATTACAACTATACAAAATATAAAAAATATTTTACAAAATGTGAAATAAAAAGACACTGTAAAATAAATGATTGCTGGGTTGTGGCAAATGGTTGTCTTTATGATGTAACAACAATTCTTAGTCACCATCCAGGTGGAGTTAATTGCATTTTAAAAAAAGCTGGTGGTGATGTATCTGTTGATTATTCTTTTCATTCAAAATATGCACAGAAAATTTTCTGGGAACCTCTAAAAATTGGAAAAGTTATAACGTGTTCTAAGGAACTTGATGAAGTCCACACAAAAAGTTTCTCTTCTCCAAAAAAGAGTACGTGCTTTTTTATGTGATTTGTTTTTACTCTGTTAAGAGTAACGAGTGTAAATTTTTCTTTTTTTTTTCTTTTTTTTTTCACACTTTTTCTTTACCTCTCCTCCCCCTCCCTCCCCCCCCCCTATATCCCCCTCTTTTTCTTCTCCTTTTTACACTTTTTCGTATTTCTTTTTTGTAAATTTTTCAGTATTAGAGATCTGGTTTAACGAAACAGTTCTGTCGACATATACATCTATGAACTTACTTTTTTTACCCATATATATATATATACTTATTTGCTTACATTCTTAATCGACATGTATTAATATTTCTCCACCCTTGGGCATACACCATTATGGTAACGATATATATATAAAATGCCCACACATGCCCTATTTATTGTTTCAAAATGAAACATGCTGTTTTCTCGATAATTTGAATCGAATATGTATTATTGTATATGTTTTCTACACAAATAGATGAGCTGATTTTATATGCACACAACATTTGTCTATTCACCCCCAACCCAACCCCCAACCCCATATATATGCGTAAGCGTTTTTGCATAGATAATTCTTTGTTAACCAAGGAGAAGTAACTAATTTGTTCCTGTACATATTGTATGTGCATCTCTTTCTTCCCTATATCTTTTCCTTTTTCTTTTCATTCCATTAGATGAGCAGTTTGTCTGAACCAGCGTTAACATATTGCTTGCGTTTGCATGACTCATTTTTATATTTTAAATTAAACTCTTAAACTCGTAAATTTTTCCACTTTTAAACTTGTAAATTTTTCCACTTTTAAACTCGTAAATTTTTCCACTTTTAAACTCGTAAATTTTTAAATAGTTTAATATTTTCTTTTCCTTTATTAGTCGATTCGCATGCTTTGTGTCTGACCGTACATGGGATGATCTTGCCCATATGGTTTCCCCCCCTCCTCCTCCCATAGTACCTATTGATTATATTATTCTCCTTTCTTTGGTCTAGACGCATCAATTTCTCCCCCACTTGTACATCGAGCTTAGATTTCTATATATGCAGTAAATACTCTAACTTGACCTTTTCAAAGTACATCAAGTTTAACTTGCGTTTCGTGATGTGATCAGTTATATATCCCCTGAAGAAGTTATACGTTCGAATTCGGTTACTCCTGTTGCTGTCTTTTATCTGCAGTGAGAGAAGAGCGAAATCGGTCAGGGGATCAAGGCAGGTGGACGAATGAACACACCGGCACAAATGGGCAAATGCTGTGAAAACAGATAATAACTCCAATTTAAAAAAAAAAAAAAAAAAAAAGAAAAAAAAAAAATTACCAATTTGGCCCGTTCACTCTGAAGAAGATGGTCATTTTCCTTATTTCTAAATTCACGTATTTTCAAAGTTAGTCTTTTCATTGCTATTCTTTTGTTCAATTCTTGGGTCCTACAACGGGATGATAAAAATAGTTTCAAAAAGAAAAAAATATATATGAATAGATAAAAATGGTCAATTTTTTTTTATTTCTAAACGTGTTTTCATGCATAATTTATTATTTTTTACGTTCGCTATGATGTATAACCTTTCTTCTTGGCATTCAGACTGTATTCCTGTTGGTATATGCATGATAGAAACACCTGATTCGATCTTTGTGTATTCATATGTGTGTATTCATATGTGTGTATGCATATGTGTGTATGCATATGTGTGTATGCATATGTGTGCATACACTTATGAAGAGGGGGAAAACGGCACAATTGAGACATGTTCAAGAGTATTTGCATTCGAATTCGATAGATTTGAATGCTCCTCCTTGAGCATACATACCTTATTAACATTTTGCCCTCCTGGCTTACTAGATCGGAAAGTTGTAATCTTCAAGTCTTTTGAATTAATTTCGCACTTTCTTTCCTCATAAGTATGCAGGAAAATTGCAATCGTAGCTGTAGAGGAGTGAATTTTATCCTTTGAGAAGGGAAGAGGGGTGAAAAAAAGGAAGACATGATGAGAAGTGAGCCAAATGTGTTTCATCATATATGTTGGTAAAAATGGACAACTCAGAAAGAGGGCCAAAAAAATGCGAAATGTTTGAAGATTTGTAATTATTGCAGATTGCTTGCCTTGGACTCATTCCTAGGAATTCTCTTCACTTGGTGAATTCCACTTTCATTTTTAAAAAGATCATATAAATTTGTTTTAACTTCCCTTCCATCCTTGATTATGTCTACATTATTGTGTGAACTTAAAACTAAGCATTCGCTGTCATCCTGCAGAAATGGAGATAATTAAAGCATAAGTAGAGAACATACACAATTCAACATTAAAAAAAAAAAAAAACGATTGAGTTGAAATGCACTCTAAATGGTCTAAAATATGATGAGCCTCGTTTACTACAACAAACTAGAACGCATTCAGTTGAGGATCTCCTCTTTTACTTGAAATTTTTTAACTCCACAATTGATCCTCTGTGCGAACAGTTTATATGTCTAACAGTTGAGAAGGGGGGAAATTAAAAAAAAAAAAAAAATTAAATAAAATCGAGAGAAATAAAGTGGAGTGGCACGAAATGAAAGAGACACGACGGAGATGAAAACGAAACCAAATGGAGTGAAGGGATGGATGTTACAAAGAGTCAAATGTCTATATGTACACATGTGCATTCGATTGTGAATGCAGTTTTTTTTCTCATTTTACAAACATTCAGCAACTCCCTTGACCATAGCAATGCTTCTTCACCTCCCACTCCTGGGCGAAATTCTATGCGTATCAAATTTTTGTTCTCCGCAAATGAACCTTCCTTTTTTATGTATAGATGGAAAAGACTCTTTTTGCAAATTTGTCGTTCATGCGTTGCTGCTTTTCTTGTAAAATTGATTTTCTAGCCAAAGTGGGAAAAAAAAAAAAAAAAAAAAAAAAATGTACACATATATTATTTTAGCTAGCTCTAATCAGATTTTACCTCACATTCTTTACACTCAATTTACGGAACCTTCTTTTGAAGACACACAAGTGTGTCAATATAAATATGTGTAAAATATCTGCGTAGCAGTGAAATGGCAATGTTGTAAAAATAAAAAATATACAAGGGTGGGAGAGACGAAGGGGAAAGAAAGGTGGAGAGAAAGAAAGAAAAGGATGGGAAAAAAAAAAAAAAAAAAGGTATGTACATCTCTCACGCATTTGTACAGTGTAAACCTATTACATTATAACTATATAGTTTGAACATATACCTGATCTATGTAAAAACCAGACACATGGAAGTAAAAGATAAAGAATAGAAGGCAACCAAAGAGAATTTTCTCCCTCATAACTTAAAGATGACAATAAATAGGAAGATATAGTCCAATTACAGAAAGAACATATTCCCTTTTGTCGATGTTTACACATATTTCACTACATGGCATTTTTTTTTTTTTTTTTTTTGGGATTTATTAATTGATGAATTTTAAGCTATTTGTGTAGTTTTTGTAGCACTGCCAATTGTTCTTTTTTCTTTTTTTTTCAAAAAGGTTTTTACACATAGCTATGAATTAAAAATTGGAATAATTAATTAGCTTCTCCTTAACATCACAGCATGTTCTTAATTGACATTTATGTGGTGTAAGAAGAGAAGATCGGGTGGATTGTTAACACGAAACAAATTTTTTAAAAATTAAAAGAGGGTGAGAATATTAAGAAAAGTGTAAAAAAAAAAAAAAAGAAAAAATTATAACTATAAGAAGTGTGACAATTGTGACAATTATAACAAAAATGTGGAGTAAAATAAATTCTCAAGCCCAAACCCAATGTGGAGAACGTGTGAATGGCAAATAAGCACCTACACACATTGTGAAGTTGTATCTTCAAGATAAAAAAAAAAAAAAAAAAAAATTATAATTTACAAACGTATACACGGGAAAAAAAAAAAAAAAAAAAAAAAAAAAATGCATAATTTGAAGATAATTCACTAACCCTAACATCCTTGCACTTTCAAGTAGTGTTAACAAATTATCAGTTCCAGGATTTTTTGGTGAGAAAAAAAAAAAAAAAATTCACAGTTGAATTCCTTCGTCAAGTAATAACAGAATTGAAAAACATGATCAATTGTAGTGCTGTTTCTGCATCATAACAATGTTCCTCATCGTGATATGCAATGTGTATTGTGTGGAAAAAGTATGAGACGAGCATTTGTTATACACCATACAGCAGCCAATTGGTAAAACATAAGTTAATTTACAAAAAAATAATGTTGCAGTAAAGATATATATGCCAAAAATGATTACTACCTTTTGGCATAAAATTGCTTTATGTAATTGATAAGAGAAGACTCATTTTCAAAATTCTTTTTAACATTTAGCCTAATGAGGTGGGTACTATAAATGATGTTTAAATTTTCTTCACCAGTTATGTTGGAACTGCTAATTTCTGTTGGTCCTTCGTAATCTTCTATATTTAACGATATATTAGAACTCATCTTTTGGGTTATTTGTACATGTATATTTATATTGTTGTACTTGAGTAGTCCCTGTTCAAATTTGGATGTCTCGATCAGCGGGGATACTTTGCACTCGCACTGTGTGGTGAAGTCAAATGCGTAAAAATGCGTAAAAATGCGTAAAAATGCGTAAAAATGTGTAAAAATGTGTAAAAATGTGTAAAAATGTGTAAAAATGTGTAAAAATGTGTAAAAATGAGAAAAAGGGAAAATGGCAAATTGGGTAATTTGGAGCTTCACACAAATTCATACGTCTCAATATGGCATTTTGGCTAGCGGATACCAATCTCACAATTCGTCATATGGTAACCCTCTCAATAGCAACCCTCTCAATGGCAACCCTCTCAGTCGCAATCCGCTGCATCACACCCCTACCTTGATGTTATTCTGAATTAAATTGTTATAAAGGGAGAAAGCGTAGACAAGTAACTTATACGCCTTGATGGTAATGACCACACTGGGGGAGTGGAAATCAATGAGCATATTGCCAGAAGTGTTCCTTCGTACTTCCTGAAAGGATGAATATAAAAAAAATGGAAAAAATAGAAATAGAAAAAATGGAAAAAATAGAAATAGAAAAAATGGAAAAAATAGAAATAGAAAAAATGGAAAAAATAAAAGTAGAAAAAATGGAAAAAAAGTGAAAAGTTTTTGCGTGTTAAACGTGCATGAGAACAGAACAAAAAAAACAACCCAGGTGTCCTCTATCCCAAAGTATGCACACAAATAGACAGAGCCCAATTTTTTGACCTCATATTAATCTCTCTCTCGTATGAAGCACAATGGACTCTCACATAGTCTGCGAAAAAAAAAAAAAAAAAAAACCAATAATGGGAAGAGCCGAGATGTGAGAGGCGAGAATGGCACTAACCTGAAATATAATGGTCGATATGGAGTCAACAAAAATTTCAAAGACGAAATTGTAAGTAGCTTCGGATGGAACTTTGTGAATCATATTTGTAAATACATCTGTTGATATGCCACCAATAGACAATAAAATAGTTCGATCAACTTGTGAATAGATATTGAAAGCAAAAGAAAAACCAAAGAGTTGTTTATATTTGTTCATAAAAAAATCCCATATAAAAATAGTATTTGAATTATTATTAAAATGATGAAATAAATTATTCAAGTAAATAATAGTAGAAGCTAAGTAGTTAATAAATTTTTTATTCTTGTGATCTTTCAAGTAATACATTTTCCTAATTTTATTCATTTTTTTGTTTAAATTATTACATTTATTAAATATCAATGAATAAAGAATTTTTAAAATCTTTTCATCATATAATGATATGTTTAAAAAATATAATAATTTTTTTAAATTTTTATATGTTATATTTCCTTCTCTAAAACGGTCGTATATGTAAAATGTCTTTTCATCATTTTCTATCGAAAGCATGTCTCTAATTATGTATATTAACATATCTGTAAAAGACCACTTTATGGTTATTTTTTTTAAATAGTACTCAAACTTCTGTATCATGTTTAGTACATTGTATATATTCATAACTTGATATACGCAAAAGGAAATATTCACGTAAGTGTCTTTTCCAATTTCTATATTTCCATCTTCACTGTCACTGTTCCGGGAGGTGATGGTCTCATCGAAGTTCATTATGATATCTCTACCTGTGTCAGCAACACTGCTAGTTTTAGTTGGACTATCTGCATTAGCTGCATTATGTAATGTACACCCGCTGGTTTTCTCGCCAACGGTACATCTAACATAGAAGTAGAGATCCTCCCGGTTGTCCACTTTTATCATGGTAGTGTACAGGAGGCTGTTCTCTCGCCTCACCATCTTCTGTTTACTATTTTGCAAAAAATGATTTTGAAAGAAACAAAAGGAACTACTGAAATTCTTCCCATAATTACAATATGGAATTGTATTAACATATGATTCGGTCAGGTAAAATGGAACATACAACAATTTGTTATTCTTTTCAATAAACATAATTCTTTGATTAAACCTATTTAGTATAGAACAATTTTTCTCTTCCCATGGCAAGTTGTTTCTTAATGGCTGTTTCTTTATTTCACACACTTTGTCTCTTCTCATAGAATTATTCTTCTCGTCAAACTTCACTATTCTGTGTCTGTCAAATAGTGCACCAGGCACTGAAATGCTCTTGTGAGAGTTATAATAGCTTGAGTGATATGTCTTATTTCTTTCTTTCTCAATTTTTTTCTTTTGTATATACATTTTTTTAATAAATTTTGTTGGAATTTTTTGTGCAAAATTGTTATCCACAGTTTGGTATATATGGAGATCATTTCTTCTCATCATTAATTGAAAAGCAAGTGGTTGATTATACGTTGCATCTTTTTTAGATAAAAAGGCATTCATGTGTTCCAGTATACAACTGTTTATAACATCTTGTTCGTATGTGCATGTGTTTCCATAAGATCCTACTCTCATATTTACATCCATAAGAACACCACCTTTGTCTGATTCACTTTTTTTATATAATAAAATTCTTAACACGTTTCTGCATTCGATTTCAGAATTGATCTTCAACTTTTGTAAGAAATATTTAAATAGATCCCTCTGTATGACCATTGGTATTAACGGGCAATTCAGCAACTGTTCAGCTGTTATTCTGTGTGTATTTCCAATTTGATCATTGCTTTCGATGACATTCAGTGGAGATTCTTCCTTTGATTTGTTATTCTCTCTTGGCCTTACATCTGTTTTGTTATTTTGTCCCCCATTGAACTGACAGATGTCTGTAGTGCCTTTACCATCATTACGCAAAAGAAGAGTAGTCCCTGAAATACTCGTGTCACTTTTTTTTTTTTTTTTTTTCGATCGAATGGAAGAATCTTTTTTTTTCTTTCGATTCTGTTCATGCTCCTTCTTGGGTTCTTGAGAAGGGCCAGAACTAGCCTTTGGTATTTGTAGCGAATCATTTAAATTGCTGAAATGTTCTTCCAGAGCATCCGAATTTGCACTACTAATGTGTGAAAAAGTGTCTTTTTCTTGCTTTAACGATTTATACACCCCTACATCATACTCGGCATCATGTTCATTTTTTTTTATTTGTTCATCTCGATCACTTAGGGGTTGTGATTTTTCCTTACAGGAAAGAGCTTCTTTCTTGTAATCATTGATAATAATAATGGAATTTTTTTTTTTTTCTTTTATTTTTTCCTTAAATAAACTAGTGTGCATATTATTTCCACTGATGTGGAATTTAAATTTTCCATTACTCGTCTTTGCACATAAATTTGAAATATCTGGATATTGAAGTCTCTGAATGTTTTCATTTGAGTGGTAATTATTAATAGTGTTCATTAAAATAAACTTCAAAACTTTAATTGCTCCATTGTCAAGAGTATTTTTTAAAAAATCATCAGGAAATTTTTTCTTTTCAATAATTTCTCTAAAATTTTGTAATTTTTCTTTTTTCGATTTAAATGGTATATGTAACAATTCGTATAGCACTAACCCAAGGGAAAACAAATCTAACTCTTCATAACTGTACTTTTTCTTCCCTAAACTATTGTAAAAGTACTGATTATATGAATGTGTGTAGAATTCTGTGTATTCTTTAGGTTTATTTGTTGACACATTCTTGTTGTAATTATTGTGATCCTCTAATAATTTCCTTTTTATGTGATTTTTCAAATGGGGAAAGAATGACCAGTGTTGTTCTTCTTTCTCTTGTGATTTCACTCCTATTTCATTTACTGCTCCAATTTTTGTCTCGATTCCTTTTTCCATCTTGATACTTGGATGATTTTGCTCTGTGAGGGCATCCCCTCGGCATGGAGATAATAATGTCTCACAGTGGGGTTCACAAACTTTCTTGGCTTGTTCCAAATTTTTTTTTTCCTTTTTCTTCTCATTCGGGTTCGGGTTCAGGTTCAGGTTCCGATTCTGCTTCGTCCTGTCGTCTGGGTTCTCCTGCTGGTCACGGCCAGAATCGTGCTCGCGACAAAACAATTTCACAAAGTTGGACAGATAGGAAGACTTTTTTGCATAAGAGTAGTTGTAAAAATATATGTAATCAATCATATTGCTTGCAGTGTAATTTACGATTTTTATATGGATTCCATATTCATCATTATCAATAAACATGTTTTCTGTACTTAAATTTTTTATATATATTTTACGTCTATGTAAATAACTTAGGCATTCCAGAATTTGCCTGAACACAGTCCATATGAGATATTTATTGTTTTGAAAAAAAAAATTTTGAATTTCTTTTTCTAGTATTTGTCCCTTGCAGTACTCACATTGAACGTAGAGGACATCGTATCTTTTTTCCTTTTTGCTTAGCAAATTTTCTAAAAATTCAATTTTTTTATTATAACTTAGTGTCTTTTGTGATAATAACATGGGTTCCTTGCTATAACTGTATTGCTCCTTGGCTTTGTTCTCATCATTGTAAATACTTTTTCTCGTATATGCCATTTTTCCCTGTGTGCTTTCACTTAATGTCGAACTGAAGTAATGCAAGAGAGTTGATGTTTCATTTTGCTTTTTCATTTTTGTTCTTTCTTCTGGATTTATAGTGAATCTCTTCATTCCATTGGAAATGTCTTTCCCAAAGCTTCTTCTATCTGGAAAAGTGCATGTTCTATTCACATTTTCAATATTGCTGAGGGGTGATGAGTATAAATCTTTACTAACAATTCTGTAACTACTTTTTTGTTGTTGTCTTTGGTTACTTTTTTTTTTTTTTTTGTTTTCTTTTCTTTCTCCATTGTCTTCATATTCGTTATGATCACTACTTTTTACCTTTTGGAAAAGATCTTCTATTCTTCTGGCTTCCTCCTGTAGACACAAATGTGTGTCTTGCTCATCTTTTGAGAAATGTTCTATGGTTTTATCTCCCTCTAATTCATAATTGCGAAAAATTCTACTCAATATGAGGAGTTTCATTATCTTGAATACTTTACACATGTCTGTGTTGTATCCCATGCATTCATTAAGAATAGCATACTCTCTTTGAGACCAGGAAACATGATAGCGTGCTAAATATTTGTGTTGTATTTTAGTCAGTTTGAGTATCTCTCTGATTATTTTTTTCAAATTCATTTTTTGCACCATCCGGAAATGCTTAATTAGGTTTCTTAAGCGTGCAAAATTTAACTCATTTAAAATATGTAACAATGTTTTTTCATTTTCTGTACTAACTGTGCAATGCTTCTTGGCATACAGTTCATATTCACTGCAAAAATAGTTCAGACATGATGGGTCGTATACTTTTTTTGTCTTTTTCTGATTTCTAAAATCGTTCATGTCTTTTAAAAAGTCTGTAAATATTTTTTCGTTTTTCTCACTTTTCTTATCTTTCTTGTCTTTTTTGCTCTTTTCATTACGCTGGAAATGCTGACAATTTTGTCTACTTTGCTCTTTTTGGACAGATGGATTGTTTTTTTCCTTTTTTTCGCTGAGCAAATTACAGAACAGATTAAATCCTCTATTACAGTATAAAATGTGATTCAAGAAAAATGTCAAGAAATGGAAAGTACCTAAAATCACATATGTATGAATTATGTACATATTGGTATCGATACTATGTCTTGCTATTAACATATTTCTATAATAATTTATTGGTATTTTTTTCAAAATGTGAAAATGTTTTAGTCTTCCGTTTCCATATTTAATTATGTTTTGCTCATTTGAGGTTATTGATATATTTTTTACGTCTCCTCTTAATTCGTCTTTCAACACTTTTCGATCTTGCCTTTTTTTTTCTTTTTTTTTTTTTACATGAAATTTTAAATTTTCTTCCATCCCCAATGGGTAACTATTTATAGAAGAAAAACCAGAAATATTTTTTAACTCATTTGTGTTTAAAAAAAATTGTCCTCTATCATAAGTTGTATAGTGCTTCCTACGTCTCACATCTGTATTGATGATATCGAGTTCTGTGAATCCTTCAGTGTTATTCAAATTGATGAAACTTTCTTTGTTTTCTTCACAATCGAAATTGTTGTTCCTATGTGTGCACACATTTCCACTGATTCTACTTCCGACACTACTGTTTCGATTGCTACGGCTAGGATTATTTTCTAAACCAAATACACTCGAGGTGATTCCATTTTCACTATTTCTCTTTCGATCATCTAGACAATAGACTTCATTCTCATTGTATTTTCTAAAATATTGAGAAGAATAAGAGGACATTCCTCCTTTACTCGACGTTCTGTCGAGAAAATGATTCCAATCAAAACAATTTTTTATTTGTCTCTCTTCATTCTTTTTTTTACACTTATCAATATCATCAATTCTGTAATTCATTTCTTCCCATAGATTTTTAAAATTATTACTAAAAGATTTGTTCACGTATTCGTTAAGAAATATACAAATGTCAAATAATGTAATTCTCCCATAATTTTTAGCACATATTTTTTTTATATTTAAAGTGATATAATTTATTTGCTGTTCACTTAGAGTACTACTTATATTTATGGAAATGTTCGGGTAGGAATATGGATATTTCTTTTCAAAGCTGAAGGTTATTTTATATTTTGGAAAATCATTATCAAAATTGAAGAAAATGCAAAATTTTAAACAATCATCTGGATTTATTTCATCATTCATATCGATACACACTGTTGCTTCGGTCAATATTCTACTCTTCTTTACAAAATCGTCTTTGTTCATGAGTTCATTTGGAAGGTGACATTTTTTCATATGTCTGAGAAATGGAAGGATAGTAGTGATTGGTGAAATAAAATGCATAATCGAATCAAATGGAAAGATTGCTACAGATTCTAAGGTACGAACAGGAGGCGATAATAAAACTATACACGCAATTCGAGGTTGTTTCAACTTTACCCAATGTGTGTTTTTAGCACTCACACATGCTCAACCTTCTTACCCAGTATTCTCCACGTATATTGGAAAATAAATATGATTCAGAGCTAGTATTTCTTCAACCTGTTCTATATACAGCTCCTTGTATTCCTCCTCGGGATTTTTTGTTTTTTCATTTTTCTTACTTTCTGAGAATGTGAAAAAAATGGAATAGTGGAAATGTGTTGAAACGAAGGGAAAAAGCTGAGGAAGGGCTGAAGGATGGTAATTGTTAAAAAAAAAAAAAAGGTTCCCTATTTTTAGTACATTTTTACACCACAGTGTGTGTGTGTATGTTAGTGGTATTCACCACTTTTTTTTTTTTTCGAATTATTATTTTCATTAATTACTATTTATGGATTTTTTCTTTTTTTTTTTCCGAGTATTTTCTTTTTCTGCTGAAATGGATGATATCATGATTGGCCACAGGATACTGCAGAAATGTAAAAAAAGAGAATCTAGGAAATTCTGCTAAAAAAGAAAAAATCAATAAATAAAGAGGGTGAGAAAAATAAAGTATGTATAATTTGTTATAATAGATTGTTTCGAGTGAAAAAATAAAAAAAGGAGGAAATGAAAATGTAGAAAAAAAAAAAAAAAAAAAAAAAAAAAACTACTAAAAAGCAAATTTTTTTTTTTTTTTTTTTTTTCGCCAATACCCACAGGTAGACTCTTTCCCCATTTTGTTTTATCCTAAAGAGAAAGATAGATTCCTCTTTTATTTCCAAAACATATTGTCCATGTTTGTAAGAAAGGTCATGTGAATACTTTTTGCAATATGTTGCAGATAGATTTATATACGCAGAGCTCTGAATAATTCGTTAGACGTGTGCAAGTGCAGAAATTATCATACGATGTGAGTGTGTATTCATATGTGTACACACTTTAGTGGCCTTTTTAGAAATTTGTTGAGGACCTTTTTTTTTTTTTTTTTTTTTTTTTTTTTTTTTATATTGCTCCATTACTTCATTGCTTTTTGCTACTGTGAAAATAAAAATTTTATATTCCTACCTTTGCAGTACGAGGCCTGAGGGGAAAAAAAAAAATGTTAATAAATTGTTAATAAATTGTTAATAAATGTTAATAAATGTTAATAAATTGTTAATATATGTTAATAAGTGCTAATAAATGTTAATAAATTGTTAATATATGTTAATAAGTGCTAATAAATGTTAATAAATTGTTAATAAGTTGTTAATAATTTTCAAACAAAAGTGGTAACAAAATGCTGCTGCAAAATATCCAAAACAGCAACTCATCTAATTGCTGTGCCTTATGTTCAATGGAGCAAATATAATTTTATAAAAAATTAAACTGAAAGAAATGAATATTAACTATTTAACCTTTTTAACTTAGAACTTAGCAAAGCGTCCACATGTGCATGTTTTTACATGTTCATATGTACATAGAGAAACCAGACATAGTAACCTCATATTTTTTTGGGTGCAACCTTTTGCAACTGTCTCTCCAAATGTTTAGCCTGTCGTAAGAACATATCATTTTTTTTTCTTCTTTTTTTTTTCCTCGTTTTTCCCCCCTTTCCTGCTCTCTCCTTGCTGACTTTTCAATTGAGATAGTATATGAAATAAAAAATTTTCAATTTAGGTATACTTATAAAAACAATAAATATTTTTTGACAGTTCCTTCAAACAAACTATACTTTTAAGTCTTCATAGGTAACACACATTTAGCTAATTTGGTTTCAGCTGTTTTATTTCCCTTCTTCTTCCCTAAAAAAGTAAGATGACTCGTGGTGTTGCTCAGTATTGAATAAAAAGGCGTCTTTTTTTTCTTTTTTTTTTTTTTTAGACCTATACATGAATGAATACTCTCAATTGTTCGCAAGTGTGTGTAAATGTTTTGTAGCATGTGTATGTATATCTATGCATATTTACATATATGTATAATACACACATGAACATATGCACTGTATAACATTTACCACTTTGAATACTACATATATATATGAATGTCTATTCCCCTCTAAGGACTGTAAATAAGTTGCCTCACTGATTCTCTCAAGGAAATTTTTTTTTTTTTTTTTTTTTTTTACGAGCTTACATCGTACAGCAAAAAAAAAAAAAAAAAAAAAAAAAAAGCAACATGCATGATATGCATAAATGGGTATTTAAAAATAACTTCACATACACATACATGTTAGTAATCAATTGACAATTCCATTCGCATATGCAATCACACACTATGCTTTACACTTGGAAAAATTATTTCCTTGTGTATATTTTACCCATGCTGATAATGTTAAAAAAAGGCTACAATAAATTGTTCTGAAAAAAATGGGTATCCCTTACTGTACCCCTTCCCCAAAAATGTGTTCCATGGAAAGTGAAAACATGTTGGATGTCTATTTTACATGCACCCAAGGGTATATTTTAAATGCACATAAAATGGAATATATATATATATATATATAAATAAATATCTGAGCATAAACTTTATTGCAAGTTTTTTTTTAAAAAAAAAAAAAAAAAAATGTCTTTATTATTTCCACGTAGACAGTTGCTCACCATGAAAGGTTATTTTAATTCATTCGTACACACCTAACTAAGAATAAAAAAAAAGAACACCCATGGACCTTTCCGTTTTCCTTCCATTTCACCCCCAACAAACTTCGAGGGAGTATTTATAAGGAACAGATGAGCGTGTTAATATATAAATAAAACAAAAGTGACTAAGACAAAATTAGTTAACCTGAAACGGAAAAAGTTATACTAAAACAAAAACAGTTAATTAAAATAAAAATGAACATTTTTTTTTATGCTGAAAATAGGTCTCTATATATATATATATATATGTGTGTTCTGTTTTTTTTATTTTATTTTTTATTTTTATTTTATTTTATTTTTATTTTATTTTTATTTTTTTTTTTTTTTTATTTTTATATTTTTATTATTTATTTTTTTTTTTTAGCTAATTTCTAGAAAGGATTTATTAAAAATGTGTCTCATTTGTTTCTTCATCCCTGGGGACGCATTTGATCGTACGCGATACATCCCACCCCACTATATCCCTCTTATAATCCCATACGTCTCAAACGTTCTATTTTTATTCAAAAGTAACTAACTGCATTCCTACAATGCCTTTTCAGGGATGTTCAGTTGTAGTGCAGATCATTAGAAATAGTCACATAAACCCAAACACATATGCACACAGGTAAATATATGAACACTAACAAGATACATGCGACTGTATTTTTAGTTTAAAAAAGAAAAAAAATCTAAACACAGATTAATACAAAAACGCATGCAAATGGTAATAAAATCCGTAAAGCTGTAAATGATTTTCGAAATTACCTCATACCCATCCATTCTACTTTTCATTTTCATCCCAGGAATGAAAACAAAAGTAAAATCTGCCTACTCTACTACACATATTATTTTTGCATGCATATGCATGTCTACATATATACCTATGCAAGCGAATAGATCGTAACCCCAATCCCTTCTTTTTTGTTAAAAAGAAAGAACCATTCATTTTTATTCACACTCATTTTGATTTATGCTCCTCAGGAAAAGGGATTATATATGGCCCCATAAGTGATTCCCCATTAATCCTCTACGGGCATATATATATATATATATATATATATATATATATATACATGCCTAATTCTAGTTCATTTGGCAGTTCACACTGAGCGGTTCACACTTAACAACTTAGGCTTAACAACTTAAGTTTAACGAGTTGCACTTGTAACCTAATGCTTTATGCTTTTTTTTTATTTTTTATTTTTATTTTTTTTTTTTTTTTTCTGACGTTTGCATGTACACACGTATACATGGTTTGACAAAATTTCTATTCTGTGTGGAAGGAAAAAAAAAAAAATAAAATAAAATAAAAAAAGGCCAAATTAAGCTTCTAGTTTGGGAGGAACTTTTTTTTTTCTTCTTAATCAAATAAGAATAAACTAAAAATGTGATTAAGCAGGAAATGTGCTCTTTGAAAAAAAAAAAAAAGATCGTAATTGCAATGATGATATTTTTTTCTTATGTCATTAAAAAGCAAAAAAACATTTATGTAACATAATTTGGGAACATAAAATCATATGTAGAAAAATATAATTGTTTTTGGTACTTTCTTTTCGTCCTCTTTTGTCTACTTCTTTTTAAAAATGTTTTAAACGCACTCTTCAAGGAGTACTGAGAATCGATTTCAAAATTAGTGTGGTAAAAAAGTGTATACTTGCAGGAGTGTTCATATAACTTTGGAGCAAAATTTTTGCCCACAATTTTTGCCTACATTTTTTGCCCACAATTTTTGTTCTTTACATACACAACCCCGACCTTCTTCCAATTATAAGAATGTGAAACACTTTCTCGCTTCTGCACAATTTGAGGTCATTTTTCATCCCCTTGGCTTAAGGGAAAAAAAAAAAAAAAAAAAAAAAAAGGAACAGGAACAGGAAGTAGGGTGGTTTGTATGTTATATATATATATATATATATATATATATAAATATATTTATATACATATATATATGTATGTATATGTATGTGTATATGTATATATAATATGGCACGTCGAAACGCAGCACACATACTGTGTTATGCACATATTTATTTACACTATATAGAAGCACCCGCATGGTAATAATATGCATATTACGTGGTCATATATTCTCTCGCTGAGGTATCTACAAAAGGTGAAAAATTCCTCTAAATTGATAAAAAGAGGTACTTTTGTAGTTGGGTAGAAAATCAATGTTGTACTAACAATTGGCAATTTTTTTAATTTTATTTTTCGCACTTTTAAAATATTTTATCCCACATATATAGGATTTATAACTACATCTGTAATCGTTATTACTGTACTCGCACAACTGTTACTAATATATCTATTATTAAAATTATTGTCAAATCATACATTACACTATTGTTACCATATTTGCTAAGCTATATTTATTGTGCCATGGTTATGCTACTTTCACGATATTGGTAAGTGTATTAAGCCGCTATTGTTATGCTATTAATATTAAAGCTCACTTTTTGCTGCTGTAAAAATGCCAATTTTGGTGAATAAAAAATGAATTACTACTCTTGTCAAAATGACAACATATATAACAACATAAGAAAACTGAGAACTAACAAGCAACATGTTAATTACTTAAATCAGAATGTTCAATCAAATGAAAAGTTTATTGGTAGACTTCAAAACACCATGACTTTGTCAGGTAAAAACTTCAAAAAAAAAAAAAAATAATAATAAATAGTGAATAATAAATAGTGAATAATAAATAGTAAATAATAAATAGTGAATAATAAATAGTGGATAATAAATAGTGAATAATAAATAGTGAATAATAAATAGTGAATAATAAATAGTGAATAATATATAGTGAATAATCAATAATGAATAATAAATAATGAATAATAAATAATGAATAATAAATAAAAAATAGCA